TAATATGTCATATACCTTAGACATAATCAAATTCATTTTAAAAATAAAAACTTAGGCCATATTAATGTTTTTGGTAGGATCATTGAACACAACTGTTTGCAGTCTCACTGTTTGAATGTCACTTTGTATGCTTTTTTTTTTTTTTTTTTTTTTTGTCTTTTTCCTTTTTATCGGTACCGGGGATTGAACTCACGACTGCCTGCTTGCAAGGCAGGCGCTTATGCCGCTGAGCTAAATCCCCAGCCCCCCACTTTGTATGCTTTGATCCTGTGACTTGAGCAACTATCTCTAAGATGATAATGTGTAATCTATTAACTGGTGATTTCTTACTGTTTTTTTTTTGTTTTGTTTTGTTTGGTAGTTCTGTATTACTTGTGCCCTTATAGTGCTTTGTTTTGTTTTGTTTTTTCTCTTTTTCCTTTTAAATACAATTTTAAAAAAATTTTAAAAATAAAAATTTAACAAGATTTAAAGGAAAAAAAAATTCGCAGGTCCATAACAGCCCCAGCATGCCTGCCCTCAGGAACACAGAATGATAACCCCAGACGCAGTCCCCAGGGCTGCTCCTAGGGCCTGAGTGCTCCAGGAGTGAGCACTGGAGTTCATTCTGGGGGCACAGTCATGGGCACAAGGACATCCACCTCTTCAGCGGATTCCAGGAAGCACCTCAGGGCCCATGGGGCTGAGCTTCCCAGAGTTACAAGAGCCAGGCAGGGAGGGTAGGGGCGTGCACGTGGGAGGCAGCAGGCAGAGGCGAATGAAGTGGGCACCCACAAAGCCACAGGCAGCAAGAAGAGCTGGCTGGCAGCCCAGCCGGGGCAAGTGGGGAGATGGCAGAGGGAAGGCAGGCAGAGATGGCACGGGAGGGGACAGAGGGGGAGACACAGAAGGCAGCATTAGCGCTGCCAGCCAGCCACGTGGGATTGGCCCTGCCTTGCCGTGGAGCACAATCTCAGTGGACCCTGGGAGGAAGCCCAGACGAGGCCAACTCAAGCTTCACTAGTAAGCAGACAGAGCACACAGGTGTCATTCATGCAAAGCCAAGCTCCTGAGTGCAGCCCCCACCTGACCCCGGCTCACTCACCTGGCACTTCTGCACCCAATGCGCCCTTCCTCCCACACAGTTCAGCAGAGGGCTGGAAGTCATTGCTGTCCTGGAACCTGCCCAAGACGGTGTCAGCACTGCACTTCCCCGTCCCTGATCCTGACAGATGGGAGGGCTGCAGTACATGACAGAGGGGCTCTGTGTGAGCTCCCGCTCCACTCCCCCCTCTTCCCATATTCAAGCCCCGAGCCAGGGAGTCCTTCCCTATGCCTTTTGAATCACAAACCACACATGTAGGGTTAGAAGCAACAGCCAAGAGATGCTGGGGATGATTCTGAGCCTGGCATTGTAGGACAGAAACAGAAGAAAGTGAAAGGCTAGGGAAGGGACAAGGAAGAGACAGGCTGCAGAGCTTACACCAGGAGCTCCTGTGAAGCCAGGTGTGTAACCCGCCACCCCATAACCACTCAGCACTATCGTGGCCTTCGGCACCTACGAACTTATCATGGCAAGGGAAAATTAAGGGTGCAGAGAGAACTGCGTAAGGTGGTGTTGGGGATCACAAATTATAAATTGAGTCTAGAGGTCATTAGAAGTTGTCCTTGTCCTGCCCTGTAAAGTGGACAGGAACACAGAAACCCTTGCTTTCTCCTGGTCACAGCTGAAGCCCTGTGGCCAGTGACGCTGTGACATTCATAGGGCAAGGTAAGACCTGCTGAGGATGACAAAGATCTCTACAGCAGTGAAACAGAGGTAGTACAAGTTTCTCTTGGGGAAAACAGTTTCCTTATTGACCCTTGTCTCATCCTTGCAAGAGTGCTTTGTGCATTCCCTAGCCCCCTGTAATCACCGTTACTGTTCCTGGAATCACTTCCCCCACCATGTGCCCGCTAATAAAAACAGTGGCAAGCTGGAGAGCCGTTGCCCACCTGCGTCACTGATCTCCCAGCCTCCTTGCAGGCACCACGAAATTGTCTTTCTCTTTCATTTCATCCTTGCAGTACCCCTCATTCAGGCACTTAGGGATCTCAGCCAGGTCCCTGACAAGGAGCTGCACACCTATAATCCCACCACCTCAGGAGGTTGGGCAGGAGAACTGCAATTTTGGGAAATGTTTGGGTAATTTAGCAAGACCTTGTTTTAAAATAAAGCCTGAGGATCTAGTTCAGTGCAAAGGCACTGGGTTCAATCTCTAGTACAAAATAAATAAATAAAGCTGGCCAGGTAATAAATCTGAAGGGATTTTCTTTTCTGTAAGAGAAACAGAAATTAAAACCTTCAATTAAAAAAAAATACTTTTCTCTAAATTGCTCCTACCCATGACCTCCTAAACAGCAGCTTTAGCTGCAAATGAATCTAAATAAGACTCAAAGTGATTAAGGTATTTTAAAAATTAGATATGAATGAATAAAACCTGAGAGTTTGTGTGTGAAACCCGGCTGTGGAGTGTTAGTCTCAGTCTCTCAGTGATCCCCGAAAACATCTTTGGGCTTCAGGAACAGGTCAGGCACTAAGACCTCCTAAGTCTTAGAGAAATTTGTCAGGCACTTTGCCTCAGCACTCTGGGAAGCTGAGGCAGAAGAAAAGCAAGGTTGATGCAGTCTGAGTGATTTCACACGATCCTGTCTCAACATAAATTGTAAGAAATTTTAAAGGGCTGAGAATGTAACTCACTGGTAGAGCTCCTGGGTGTACACACACACACGCTGCTTTCACACACACACACACACACACACACACACACACACACACACACACACACACGCTGCTTTCACAAGCCTGCCAGTTGCCACTGTAAGTAAATACACCTGTTTCTTTAATCCTCACAAAACCCCTGTGGAACAAGCACTGTTACGCCTTCTTACACAGAAGTCCTGGAGGTAGAAATAACCTGGTAGTTTTTGCAGGAACATGTAGTATCTATGCTCACAAAGGGAGAAGGCTTTTTTTATATCCAAGGCATATTGGGCCCTGAGATCCTGTGCATTCTTCTTTTTTTTTTTATTACTTTATTCATTGATATTAAGAAGAAAAGGTAAAACAAATGTTCACAACAAAATAATGAAAAAGTAACAATTGTTAATAAATTACACAACATTATCTTTAGTCACTCAAGTACAAAATATGGGCATAAAAATTACTTCAATCAATATTAGTACAACCTTTCCTATTCAGTGAACTAAGTGACACTAATGGTATAACTAACTTGCACTTTTTTTCTTCTAATCTACTGCTTGGTCTAAGAAGTGTTTGTGTTTTATTTTGTCTGGGTTTGAGTTGGTTGGTTTGATTAGGTTTGCAGTACAGCGCATTGGACCCAGGACCTTCCCACTAAGCTACACTCCAGTGCTTTTTAATTTTTTTTTTATCTTTGAGATAACGTTTCACTAGATTGTTAAGTGGCTCAAACTCACAATCTACTTGCCTCAGCCTCCCAGACTGCCAAGATTACAGGTGTGTACCCCGCCTCCAATTTTCATTTGTGTTTTGCAAAAGCTGCAAGTATATATTAAGAACTCTTACAATTCAGTAAAAAGGAAGACAACCAACTCAGAAGAGGGTAAAGAATCTAACAGACATTTCTGCAAAAACATACAAAAACCAAAGGCACCTGAAAAGACACATCTTTAGCTACGAAACCATCACTTGATACCCAATGGGAGAGTTACCAGCCACAAATCAGATTAAAATAAGAGTCCTGTTTGAGGAGACGGGACCTTCACAGGGCTGCTGAACCTGTCCACTAATCTAGACAGTCTGGCACACAGCTTGACAGTTTCTCAAAAAGTTAAACAATGGGTCACCATGTCACCCAGCAAATCCACTCCTGAGTAACTACTTAAGAAAAGTTCATACCTATCAACACAAGAACTTACTCACAACTGTTCATAGCAGCACTGTTTATTTTTTAGCACTGTTTATAACAGCCAAAAAGTACAAACAACCCAAACACCCATCACCCAACGAATAGATAAATAAATGTGGCCCATCTGTATAATGGAATATTACTGAGCAATATAAAAGGAATAACACTGACACATGCTAAAAGGGTGAATCTCAAAAGGATTACTAGGGAAAGAAGCCAGATACAAAAGACCACAAACTGTTGACTCCAAAACCATGAAACTTAACAGAATGGTATGGACAAAATATAGATTAGTACTTGTAATTATTAATTACAGAGGGCCAGGGAGCTGAGGACTGGCTGCTAATGAATGTAACGTCCTCTCCAGGGTGGCGGAAAGGTTCTAGAATTAGACTGCAGCGCTCTTTGTAAGGGAGGTCCTCTCACGCACGCGCGCCCACAAACACCACCAAAGCAGTGCGGGATGTTTGCTTGCTTGCGTGGCTCACACTGGAGGATTTACACCGTGGTGCACGAGCCTCTACATTTAGTTTTTCTAAATGAAAGGATTTCAATTTTATAAGGTAAATATCAATTTAGACCCCACCCCCAACTAAAACGTTTTTAAACTCTTTGGGGGGGGAGGGGCAGGGAGGATCGGTAACGTGCAGAGCGCCACCGTCCGCACCTGGCCGTCCGAGGCTCGGAGTCAGACGCCACCGCCCAGGCCCCGAGGCGACGCCTGCCTTCCTAGCGGGGAGCGGAAACCGCAGCGATTCCCAGGCGTCCTCACCCGCCACCTCTCGCCCGGGCGCCAGGTTCCAGATCCAGCAGGCGGCGCCCGGTCCCGGGCCGGGTCCCTGCTCCAGGGAAGCCAGCGTGAGGGAAGCGCGGGCCTCGCGCCAGAATCTCACGGGCGACTCCTCCACACCCCAAAACCCGCGGGGAGCGGGCGGGCGCGGGGCTGCGCGGCGCGGAGGCGCGGGCAGTGCAGGACAGCCCCGGCCCCGCTGGCGGCTGTGCCCTCGGGGCGCGGCAGGGCACGTGCGGCCGGCGAGACCTCGCTGGGCCGTCGGGGCGGGCGGGCGGGGAGGCGCCAGCGCGGGGCGGGGCGGGGCGGGGCGGGGCCGGGCCAGCGCGGCGCCCGGGACGCTCCTGCCGCTGCGCCCCCGCTTGTCCCCCGGAGCGTGGGCAGGGCTGCGGGGTCTGCTGTGAGCTCGGCTCCCACCGCCGGAGGACGAGGCAGGAGAGTCGCGGTGCGGAGCCGAGGCTGGGCGCGTCCCGTGTGTCCTCCGCGTGGTTGTCTGGGTCCAGCGGACCCTGCCCGGCTTGGGCCACGGCCGGCGGGGCGCGGGGAATGCAGTGGCCCCCGACGGCTGGCGCCTCGCGGGGTCCGGGCCGGGTGCCCCCCATGGCTGCCAAGTGGTTCAGGGAGTTCCCGCTCACCCTAAAGCCCAGTGCAGGCGCTGGCAAGCTGCGCAAGAGCCCCGAGGTGGGCAGTGCGGGGCCCATCCCGGGCAAGGGCCGCAAGAACTCTGTGGCTGAGTTAGGCGCCCGGGCCAGCAGCGCCGCCCCCAAGGACAGCCGGCTCTCCCGGGACAGCCTACAGGGCCTGATCCAGGCTGCAGCCGGTAAGGGCCGCAAGAACTCGCGGGTCACCGAAGAGGAGCCCCACCGGGGCGCGGCCAAGACCTCCGGCTGCAGCACCTACATCAGCAGGCTCATCAAGGTGGACACCCAGGAGAAGGCGGCCAAGAGCAGCTACCCCAGCAACAGCAGCAGCAGCGGCAGCAGCAGCAGCAGTAGCAGCAGCTGTTCCTCCGCATCCTCTTCCCCTTCCTCCCTGGGCCCGGAGCCGGACAAGGGCAAGATCACAAAGCAGCAGGACACGGTAAGAATCCAGCCTGCCTTGCAGGCTAGGGAACACTAGTGTCTGCTAAACCCCAGGCTGCTGCACAACGAAGGGAAGGTCTGTCCTCCCTCATCACTCTGTGACTTCCAAGTCACCTTTGAAAACGAAGGACCTTTTCTTGAAAAAATTCTCATCCTAGGGGTGGAGAACTTTGCAGAAATGTACTTAGTAAATCCGTTTGGTTTTGTTAGCCTTCTGGAAGAGTGAACCAGTGCTTCCTGCTTCAGTAAATGTGACCCCTCGTGAATGGCCTATTTTAATTCTGCCATCCAGGAAATCTGCAAAGCTAGATTTGTGTGTGGCTTGTCCTTCTTGATCAGGAGGAATGGGACCCTCTAACCTGTAAGTATGGGTTTCAGAATTTCAGGAAGAAGGTTGGCCACCTCCCTCTCTAATGGCTTAGAGGGCCATTAGAGAGTGCGCTGTGCACTTCCACCCGGTAAACATCTGAGAGCTTCAAAAGCCCTCCAAAATGACCGTCTTCCACAGTGCAGCAGCCGCATAGTCTAAGGGGCACGGGGCACTGAGGGATGGGGAGGCTGCAGACCACCACGAGGAAATGCTAGCTCAAGAGAGAAGAAAGTGCTTCCTGTTTCTGACTCACTGGAGAGCTGGTGCTGTCCAATGTGGAGAGTAAGAAAAGGAATGTAGATGTGGGGAAAGGGCTGTCCGTTCTTAAAAGGATGGGACGGTTTGATCTGGTTCATTTCTCTGTGTGAACAGGGAGAGGTAGAGCTCTAATGATGTTTCAGAGCCCAGCTCAGGCGCTCATTTCTTGTTGTAGAAACTAATTTTCTTTTCTCACCATGCTTCAAATGTGCTTCCCACCTGGACCATCAGTATGGGCTCCTGCGTTCACAACTCCATTCACTTTTTCTCACACACATTCCCAGCATGCCTGCCCTGGGCCAGGTGAGGAGCAGAGAGCCACAGAAGAGTGGATGGACCCCGCTGGTATGCGACTCGGTGTGGAACCTGGCTGTTGGACTGGGTCGCCAGCACCATAGACCCTGGACTGGCGGATAAGACCCTGTGTGTGCTCTGTGCCTTGCGGCTGCCGGCTGCCATAATTGCCAATCAGGACTAAGGGAGGGAGAGCACAGAAGCCATTGTCCTCTGCAGTAGATGCCTGTGGCCTTCAGGCCATCACCTGAGGGTGACTGAGTTTTCTTAGGCCATCTGTGGGGCACAGGACTCTCATGCGGTTTGTATCCCCTCCAGGTACATTGCCATGTACTTTTCTTGGAGATTACTGTATCGCATCGTGGAGCAGGTCCCTAAACTTCCTCCCTGACAAGGGTTCTCTGTCCTTGGTATTGCCACCCAGCTGCTATAGAGCAGCACTATTATATATTTTCTTTGGAAAAGTAGATATTCTCAGACACATTATCAAAATAATATAAACCAGGTATGGTGGAGATGACTCTGATCCCAGCACTCTGGGAGGCTGAGTCAGGAGGATCACAAGTTCAAGCCCAGTCTGTGAGATCCTCACTCTGTCTGTCTGTCTGTCTCTCTCTCTCTCTCTCTCTTTATATATTTATATTTATAAAGTCTGAAGATAGAGCTCAGTGCACAACCCTGGTTTCAAATCTCAAAAACAAGCCTCAATCTGATCTGTAGCCTAGGGGAATCAGTTTGCCTGTGAATTACTGAACCTAGAACTTCTACAGCATTAACCTGTTTCTCCTTTATGAGGCTTGTGTCTTTGAAATGTTGTAAATTCCTGGAGGACAGGAAGCAGATCTTTAGTTCATGTGGAGCTCCTGCAATGCTCAGTCAGTGCTGGGGGGTAACTGACTCACAGTGACTACGTTGCTCAGCCGATTGGAGCTTAAAAGAGCATGGGCTGTGTGGTAGACCAGTTCATCTTTTATGCACTAAAGCCACAGACAACTTCCTCTTCCCACCACCCACCCTGCCGTCCTCTAACCCACAAATGTTTATTACTTGGGGAGAAAAAAGAAAGTAGAAAAAAAATTGAGGTTATGTAAAAGAGTTTAAATGAATTGTTGCAAATTGGTTACTACAGAAAAAAAGTTTGTCCAACTTACACACATGCTCAAATACAGGAGCTGTCTGAGCTCATTAGAGACACGAAGTCTCCTGATCTGCGGACTTCATTGGCTTTGGGTACACAACAGTGGTCGGCACCCACCATCCTCTCTTGCTCTTTGACAGGTAATCATTTTAGAAGACTATGCTGACCCTTACGATGCCAAGCGAACAAAAGGTCAGAGGGATGCAGAGAGAGTTGGCGAGAACGACGGCTACATGGAACCCTACGATGCCCAGCAGATGATAACAGGTTTGTGCCCCACTCTTTCCCTGGCACACAGACACTGAGCCTGGTCGCATGGTAGCCAGGCCACCTTTGGTCAAGCACTTTAACTGAATCCTACTGATTGGAAGAAACAGAAGTGAGGTCTAGTCTAAATTTGAGCTGTCTGTCTTCATGATTTAGTGTCCTTTAGAGTTTTAGCATTTATGGAGATTTTTCAAGTTTTTCTGCTTGTATGTAAAATGACACACGGAGGCCTGAAGATCTGCCAGAATGTGGTCTTTGGTGTTAAGATTATTTACATACATTTCTTGACTGCATTCAAAAGACATCCTCAGAAGTAGTCATAAATCAGTACCAAGAATTCATACTTAAAGGATTTTAAATTGTAAAAATTCGTAGACATGATGTGATCCTGTATTGTAGATTTTCTCCAGTTCTACACCACTGAAACAAAATGTTTAATTACTGGGAAATAATTAACAATCACTCTCATGAGCCAGCATTCAGGGCAAACCACCTAAAACCAAATTTGACTAATCTGATAACTTTCCAAGTCAAAATAATGCAGTTTGGACTAATTCTTCCCTTACTTTTGGTGCCAAACTTTTCTGTTCTCCTGGTTCTCTGAAGTTAGTGTAAATAATACTTAATCAAAATAATATATTAATATTAGCCGTCGTTCTCGCCAACTCTCTCTGCATCCCTCTGACCTTTTGTTCGCTTGGCATTCGCTTGGCGAATTATTAAGATGGATTTGAGAATGTTAAGGAAGATTTATCGGTTCACTTCATTTTCCTTTGACCCATGGTGAAAATGTAGTTTCTGAATGCTGGTCTGGGAGCCTCATCTGCTGGGCTCTGAGGCTGGGAAAGGAGGGCTGGGTCACGGGCCCAGTCTTTGCCTCTGGGGTCTGAACACACTGCAGCCCCAGCTCAGGCCGCAGAGCACGGAGCCGGAGCCGTGGCAGGCAGCACCCTGGAAGGGCTGAGCCCAGCCCCCAGCCGAGCCAACAGGAAAGCTCAGCTCCGCTTCCTGCCTCTGCTTACAGAGATAAGGCGTTGCCTTTGGGACGGGTGTACCCTGGCCAGGCGGTGACCCTGCAGGTCACTGGACTGTGACCCCTAATGAAATCTGTGAATGAAAGGAAGTGAAAATGAACTTAGTCAGAAATTTTTAAAATGTCAGAGGCTTGAAAGGAATAGGGAAAGGATTTTCTTTGACATACAACTGAGAAAAAAAAATTTTTAAAAAAGGAAGACGAGTTACTAATGCTTAACTCTGATTCACTGGTTCTTTGTCATTCTTTTGATCCTTTTGATTGTTGTTTTAGTTTTTTTTTTTTTTTTCTGTTTTCTTTTGAAATGGGTCTTGCTATTCAGCCCAGGCTAGCCTTAAACTCATGGCAGTCCTCCTGCCTCAGCCTCTTGAGTGCAGGGTTACAGGTGTGCACCCCCATGCCTGGCTTGGTTTTTATCCTTCTTTTTAACTGGTACAGGTGAATTATCTATATCATACCAACTGTTTATTTGAGGATTCAATCAGGAAAATTCTGTATTTTAAAAACTGAATATAGCTTTTTATTTTTAAAGTAATCACAGGAGCTCTATAAACAAGGGGACTGCATTGTGTACCCCTTTTAATGGTAAAGGACAAGAGCAAAGGGCTTGGGACCTGGCTGTGCTCACAGATTTTTAAGAAGCAGAGCAGAAATCAGAACCTAGCTTTCACACTCTAAATTTAGTGGTCTGCCCGTCATACTTCCTGCTCCCCAAGACACACTTGAAATGATGCATGTGAAAGTGCTAAATTTAACCGAGTGTGTTGGCACGAACCTGTCATTTCAGCACTCAGGAGGCTGAGGCACAAGGATCCCCCATAAGTTCAAGGCCAGCCTAGGCTACATAGTAAATTCAGTGACAGCCTGAACTACATAGAGACTTGTCTCAAGAAAAACCACAGCAGGCGGAGAGAGAGGACAAAAATAAGTAAAAATTTAAAAAGTAAAAGTGGATTGTGGATGTAACTCAGAGCAATGACTCAGTGTTTAATCCTCAGGACTGGAAAAAATAAAAAAGAACTATAAACTTGACCCATAATTAGTGACATCTTTTGGCTTAGACTAACTATGAATATATATTCAAAATTCAAAATTGGGGGGGGGGAGTAAAAAATTGTCCAGCTTGAAATAAATATAATAACTAGTATTTAATATTTCAGTATTTTTTAAATTTTGACCTATTTTAAACAGTTTATGTGAATAAATTTATTTAGGTACAAAATTAGCATAATCTATTTGTAAATAACTTCGAATTTATTAAAATCTAAATTCTAAATTAGTAATCTTAAGTACATAGTACACTTAACTTAAAATTTATACTAGTAGACCTTATTTAAAATAGAATATCCCAATGGGCCAGGGATATAGCCCAGAGGTCCTGAGTTTGATTCCTGGTACCCTCCTTCCCCCCAAATTTTACGTATATATGTGTGTGTGTGTGTGTGTGTGTGTGTATCACAAAATAGCTTCTCAATCAGTGTAGAAGATATGCCGTAGGTTACACACTGGACAGAATAACAGGAAGTGAGTTTATTGGAAACTAGAAATAAAAGATATGCTGCTAGTTTTTTTTTTTTAATTAAACCTTTTGCTGGGAATTAAACACAGGCCCTTTGTGTTGAGCTATATACCCCAGTGCTTTTTATTTTTTTATTTTGACACAGGGTTTTGCTCAGTTGTTCAGGCAGGGCTCAAATTTTGGGATCTTCCTGTCTCAGTCTCCCAGAGGGCTGAAATTATAGGTGTACAGCACCATGCCCAGCTACACTTTCTACTTTGTATTTATTATTTATTTTTGTCCTTTTTTTTTTGAGACAAGATCTCACTGTGTCATTCAGGCTGGTCTTGAGCTGGCTGTGTAGCCCATGCTGCCTCAAACTCACAGAAGACTTCCTGCTTCAGCCTCCCAAGTACTGGAATTACAGATGTGCACTACCATACCCCACTTACTTTTTTTTTGGTGTCAGAACTTGAACTCAGGATCTTGTACTTGACTTGCAGGTGCTGTGGCACTGAGCTATATCCTGGCCCTACCTTTTAAAATTCAGTTTGCTTCTTATATACTTCCTTCTCAAATTCAAGTTCAAAAATTTCCCATTTTCTTTTCTTCTCTCTTACCCCCCACCCTTTCCTTCTCTATCTGCCTGCCTCTGCATCCCTGACTCTGTCTCTGTCATCACTCTATCTATCTTAGTGCTAAGAATAAAACCCAGGGCTTCACACATGCTAGATGAGCACTCTGCCAGCCCTAGAGATTTCTCATATTCCTTGAGAACACTGAGGGTTTTCAGTCGGTTTGGGCTTTCCCGCAGGTATATCAGGACAAGGGCTTCAGTGCAGCACTGCAGTCAGTGTTGCCTGTCTGTGCTGCCTTCTTCCTGCCTGGGCAGTGAACAGAGAGCGCCTGGTGTTACTGCCGTCTTGGGCACACAGAGTGCTGTTGTGGTGTTACTCCGTAAAACCCACACATGTGCACGTAGCAGGCTCTGTGCTGGACGGAGAGCCAGCCAGAGAGGAAGCCCAGGCACTGGGACCCCACTCTTGGACCACACAACCCTAGCTGAAATAGGGAGACCCTGAGTTTGATCCCAGCAACCCCACCTCATAAAAGAAAATAATTTATGAGTAAATTCTCACTGCGATTTATCTACAGGGTTGTTCAGGAAAGAGTGTCTCAAGGAAATCACTCTCAGGAAAGAGTGATTGTGAATACAGGCAATATTAACATTAACCTCTCATTTTCTGCTAAATTAGCAGAAACTTTTTTTGGGAGTGGGTGGGTGCTGGGATTGAACCAGGACCTTCAGCATGTAAGACATATATTTTAGCTCAGGAACTTACAGAAATATTGTACTAATAACGCAGAATAATTTAGCATTGCAAATTTTAGCCACAAAATTTAAAGTAGTGTTGGATGAGTCTTTAGAAGTTCCCTAAGAGCCATCAGCTAGTGTGAAAACTCTTTGCACACTTGATCCCTGATAGCTACTAGTCAAGGGCTTACTATACAGTGAGGGCGAACCTTTGAGAGCTTTCAGTGACACGAACAACCCCCTGTGTCACACACGCCAAAGGTTGGCCACCACTGGCTTACTGGGCGCCAACCTTGTCAAGCTAACCTCACTGAATCCAGCAGCAGCCCTTTCATATAGATTTCTCTTAACCAGTTCAGGAGGCCTAGGTTCAGAAAAATGAAAAAAATCATCCAAGGCACACAGCTGAGAGGAAGACAGCAGGTCATCAGCAGCCTTAGGTCTGGCTATCGAGTTCCATTCAAATACTGTGTTTAAAATCTCTGTTTTTGCTTCCAAATGATTTTGTTGTGGTTTTTGCTGTTGTTTTTGTGTGTTGGTGCTGGGAGCCCAAGCTTTCACACGTGCTAGGCAAGTGTTCCACCACTGAGCTGCACTGCCCAACCTAGACTATTTTCTTTGTTACACTCTAGAATTTCTGAATTATACCTGCTTTTATTCAGATAGTTAGATTTATTTGATAAGAAAATATGAAAGTCATTTCAAATCGAAAGCTTGGCACTTGGTTGGGCATGATGGCACACACCTGTAACCCTAGCACTTAGGAGGCTGAGGCAGGATTGCTGTGAGTTCAAGGCCAGCCTGGGCTACAAAATGAGCTCAAGGCCTGAACTGCAAAGTGACACCCTGCCTCAAAAAGAAAAACATAACAAACAAAAAAAAAAAAAAAAAAAAAAAAAACCCTGTTTCTGATTCCAAAAGGAAACCAGAATGTATGAGGTGCCTGTGGTAGAAACATGAAGGGGATTAGAGAAAGGTATGTTATTTAGAACTGTAATTAACTTCATTTTCTTGGTGGAGTGTTTTGAGACAGGCTGGTTTTGAATTTACAGTCCTCCAGCCTCACTCAGCCTCCCAAGTGCTGGGATTCCAGGTGTGCACCACCACACCCATTTTTGGTGTTTTGTTTTATTTTGTTTTGAGCCAGGGTCTTGGTAAACAATGCATGATGTCCTTGCTATGCAGCCCAAAATGGCCTTGAATTTGTGGCAGTCCTGCCTCAGTCTCCCAAGTGCTATGTTTTGTAATTAATATTTTACATGAGATTGTTTTGAGTATAGATAAGCCCTGGGCCCTGGAGTCTGTAATAAATGGTTTGCTGCTAATGGTATCATGACTGTGGCCTCTGCTTATTCACCTGTGAAATGGGCTCACTCCTCTGTCAGTGTGATGCATCTTCTATGAAATGCCTGTTAGCAGCATCCCCAACAAATGCAGTTGTTACTTAAATGCTTTAGACAGAATTCCATTTTCAGAGAATTCTCAATACTATAGAGACATAGCTGCAGTTAGTGAAAGTAAGTCTTCATCATGTTTTTATTTATTTATTTAGAGACAGGGTCTCACTATGCAGTTCAGGCTGGCCCTGAACTCACTTTGTAGCTCAGATTGGCCTCAGCTTGCAACTATCTTCCTGCCTCATACGTCGTCGTGTTTTTAGAAGTGGCATCATTAGCCATATGTGGGGAGGGCTGGGACAGAGAGGAAATTGCTGGCCCCTGGTAACGTTTCTCACCAAGCTGTGCCGTTTGCTGGGGCCCAGGCAGGCTGGCCGCACAAGAGTGTTTATCTGCCTCCCGCCCCGCACTGCTGTCCGTCACGGGGCCTCTGTCGCAGCCAGGGTGTAGCTTCCTTTCCCGTTTCCTCCTTCTCAGGCCCGTTTCCTCTCAGAGCCAGCTCCGCACGTCAGGGGTTGTTCTCCTGCAGGAAGGGTCGGCTTGCAGCCCCGCGATTGTTTCTGTTTCTATGGCGCCTCAGGTTGGGGGCAGCCAGGTGTTGGCGGGAGTGGAAGGTTGGCTGCTCCTCAGGGAGGGTCGTCCCAGCTCTGTCCCCCCAATTAGGCGCTGTATTTGGCGGATTTTACCCAGACTCACCCTAGGAAAAGAGGGCACATTCTCAGCCATCAGCTTCCCTGAGTCTCTGCCATCCTTCCCTCAGGTGTCTGCAAGGAAGGACCCCAGGACCGCCTGTAAAAGAGAAAGCCAAACACACCCAGAACTCAAGATTCTAACTGCTGTGCCTTGTTGTAATGCAAACTTACTGAACTCTGCTCCTGAGCAGGACTTCTTGTATCTTTTTCTTTTTTTAATTTAATGCAGTATTGGTGATGAACCCAGGGCCTTCAAGCTGAGCTACGACCTCAGCCCTTTTTATATCTTGAAACAGGTCTCACTGGTGTCCTTAAATTGCCCAGGCTGAACTTGAACCACCCACCTCAGCCTCCCAGAGTGCTGGGATTACAGGCATGTAGACTCCTTGTATCTTATCTTGGAATCAACTGCTTCTTTGAGTTCAGCTCTGCAGAACTGAAGCCAGGACCTTGGGAAGGACTTTTCAGCAGACCATGCTGCAGTCCAAACCGCGGGTAAACAAGTTCTGATTAGAAACCTAAAAACTCTAAATTCATCCTTAGACTTCCTTTGTGTTTTCTGCTTCCTTTTTTTTTTTTTTAGCTCTTTAGAAAAGTTCTTTTTCAAAACTGCCGGCCTTATCTTAAGTGAACCAAGAACAGAGTTGGCTTTTGTTTCTTGTTTTCCATAGCCAGCATAGGCCGTGAAGATAAAAAGCTATGGGACTGCAAGTCAAGAGGCCGAGACAGGAGATGCGGCCTGGTCTTGGGCAGCCGGGTCCCTGGCCTCGCCCGGAGTGGGGTAGGGAATGGTCTTGCCAAGACACATTAGCAGTATTGTGCTCTGATGCAGAAGACTTAGGACAGGCAGTATCCGCTTCCTGGGGACAGGCCAATCCAGGAGTGATTAGCCCAGAAAGCAGGAGGAAAGGAGCAGGACTTGGGGACCAGGAAATATGGAGTGGTCCTTAGGCTTTGATTCTTATTAGGATCATTGGGGTTTTGGGGGACAATATATAACTATGTAGCCCAGGCTAGCCTTGAACTCATGGTGATCCTCCTGCCTCAGCCTCCTGAGTTCTGGAATTACAGGTGTGTGCCACCACACCTGCTGTCCTTTTTAAACTAACTCTCTGTTCATTTGTCATCCTTTTCTTGGTACAGAAATGATACCAAGCTGGGAGTGGTGGAGCACACCTGTAACCCCACCACTCGAGAGGCTGAGGCAGGAGGATCACCGCAAGTTCAACACTGGCCTGGGCTATAAAGTGAGACCAGCCAGAATTACATAGTGAGACTCTGTCTCAGAAAACCAGTAACAGCAACAAAAAAACAAAGAGCGAGACAGATAGAGACAGACAGAAATTATACTGAGTAAAGGATTCTCCAGGCAGCTTCACCAAGCTGTTCTAAATTAGAGGGTGTGAGTCCTCCTGTTTTGAGCTCCCGCAGCCCAGTTCTTCTGACCTCTTCCTGCCACCCCACTCTTGCTCCTCCTTCCTGACTAGCTTCTCCATCCGAGCTGAAGGATCCTGGCTAGAGCACACCTTTTACATGCACACGCCCAAACACAGTCATCGTTCACACACTCAGACAATCGCATTTTCAAAGAGAATTCGGGGCAGCACAGAGTAATATAAATGGTTCAGAGCAATTAATTTAGCAAAGGAAAATCTCAGACTTCTGCTACCTTTGAATGTGAGTGGTGTCATTATGTATATTGAGGCCTGGGCATTGAGGAGGGAAAATTTCCAGCCCGTTGTGTTACACACCAGCCAGTTGCCATTTTCATCAGTGCAGGGCAGCCCTTGGTGTCTGATCCCCTCTCCTTTCTCTTCTTACACAACTGCCTTTATTCTCACAATCTGATTTGCGTAACTCTTTGATGTGTACCCACACCATGGCCACCTGCAGTCCACCTGCGCCCACCCACTCAACTATCCATCCATCCATCCATCCATCCATCCCTCCAGTCATGGCTTTGCACGTGGAAAGCAAGCCCCAGTGGAGGTCCCTACTCACCCTGACAGCCCCCCAGGGCTAGAAGCAAACATACCAACAGACCAGTCCGGATGCAGCCAAAGAGTGAGGTGAGGGCGGTTTAGTGAAGAGTAGGTGGGCTGCAGAGTCTTCTCCAGAGACCAGGAGATGCTGAGTTAGACTTCAGAGGGCTGGAAGAGCATGGGCCCTGGCAGTTGTGTGGCGGCACAGTGTGGGGGGGACTTTGGAAGGTCCTGTTCGGTTGAAGCAATAGTCAGGTCATGGGAGGACAGGGCAGAGTGGTTGAGAGAAAGAACTGGAGGGGGAAAGTCTGTTAGGGCCTCCTGTGCCATACCAAGCCTGCTGTTTTAGGGAGTAGCCCTTGGAGCACTCACAAGCCAGTGTGTGAGGAGACGGAGGCACTTGCGTTTAGAAAGATCTGTGACTGTGAGCAGGTGGAGAGTGGCGTCAGGCTTCCAGGGGGCCAGCATGGTGCTTCTGTGAGCCCCAGTCACCAGCTCTGGTGTCTGCCATCTCGCCCTCTCCAGCTCACCCAGCACTGCCCCGTCCTCAGTGTCAGCAGTCCCTGAGCTCTGCTGGCTCCGTCCCTCTGTGGCTGGCGAGCTGCGAGGCTGGTTGCGGCATGTGTTCCCGCTCATCCCTGCACCTCAGTTCTAGCCGCACCCTCTCACTCCTCCCTGTGGTTAGGGTTATCTTCCAGTGAAATAACAAATGCAAGTACTATTCTCTGTTAAAAGACTCAGGCCTAGTAGTGCGTATCCGTCATCCTAGCGCTCTGAGAGACTGAAGCACGAGGATCAAGAGTTTGAACCCAGACTGGACATTGGGAAGTTTAGCAGTTTAGCAAGACCCTGTCTCAAAATTTAAAAAAAAAAAAAAAAAAAAAAAAAAAAAATTTAAAGACCAAGCATGTAGCTCAAAATGAAGGCCCTGGGTGGAGTTCAGTCCCCTACTGCAAAAACAAACACACCCAAAGAACTGACAGATTTCTGCACTGCACATAGGATAATTCAAACATTTTTCCTTTCCTTCCTTTTTTGTGTTTTTGTTTTGGTTGGTATTTGTTCTTTGAGACAGAGTCTCACTATGTAGTTCAGACTCACTTTGAACTCGCTTTGTAGCCTAGGCTGGCCTCGAAGTAAGTCTCCTGCCTCAGCCTGCTGAGTGCTGGAATCACATGGATGTGCCCCTCAGCTGGCCAGGCCCCTTGCTTTCCTAACCCTGTCATTTTATCACTTGGCTTACCTACTTTTCCATCTTCTTCTCCCACTACCTCCCTCCTCCCCAGTCTTTGGTCCTCCAAGCTCCTTTCGCAGTCTCCTGTGTGGAAATGAGCCCTGACTCTTCCAGCCTCTGTGTCTTCACTCGCACTGCCTCCCCCAGGAAACAACCTTTTCTATCAAAACCAAGTCTTCCTCCGTTTCCCATCAAGGAGCAGTGGCCACAAGTGTGGCTTTTGGCACCAGCTTCCTGCTTCCACCCCAGGCTTCGCCACCTGTGGGTTTGGGTAATTTCCTTAACTTCTTTGTTCTTTTTTCTACATATCGGGGAAGTTACAGCATCCGTCTGAGAGTGGTTGAGGTCAGACAGTGGTGCTCACCATGTGGCCAGCAATCGTGCCTGTTCACTGTGCGACCGTGGTCGGTTTCCTAGGCCCCTCTGTTTCTTGGGTGTAGCCTGCAGTGGGAGCCCCAATTCATACACTAAGTGTGTGCGGCCCCCACACAGCTGAAACTGTCCAGAAGCCAATTACCCAAATGCACACAAGCAGCTTCCCGAGTGTGTTTGGAGCAGTGCTTTGGATATCATAAACATCCAGCCACTTTTGGTCAAAACTCTTTCACCTGGGTTTCCTAACGTGCTGTAAGCCTGAAGGTGAACTTGACTCAGAGTGAACACCAGGCTTGGCAAGTGAAATGGGTTTCTCTGGGGCTGCTTCTTGCCACTGTTAGGGGCACCTGAGTCCCCGATCTAAGCTAGGGACCTGGGGGAAAAATCTCCAGTGCCCCTGGAGGCTTCTGTGGCTTCTCAGCTGATGGAAGGTGATACACCCATCAGGAATAATCTTGGAGTCCCACACCCTCCACCAGTCAGCAGCAAGCATTTACAAGGCCCAGAGAGTTCTGATTGACAAGGGAGTGTGTTTTTCAGAAATTAGACGCCGTGGCTCCAAGGACCCCCTGGTGAAGGCTCTGCAGCTGCTGGAAGGGCCCTGTGAGCCTGGGGAGAATGGCGGTGCCAAGTCAGAGCCCATGGCCAAGAGGCGCGGCTCCAAGGACCTCCTGGGGAAGCCACCACAACTCTACGACACTCCCTACGAGCCCGGCCCTGAGGGGAAGGCTTGGCCTTCGGACAGCCGGCTGCCAGAGGATGATGAGAGGCCTGCGACTGAGTATGAGCAGCCCTGGGAGTGGAAGAAGGAGCAGCTGGTGCGTGCACTGTCAGGTGAGCACCACGGGCGAGTCACACCCCCCCCCCAGCTAAGTCTCCTTTAAACGGACACGTGACTGCACACCTCATGGGTACCTGTGTCGTTCCCATATGCGCGTGCATTGTGTAATGGTCAGTCAGGGTAATCAGCATGTACATCAGTTCACTTACTCCTGCTTATGCAGTCCAAAAGCCTTATCTGTCTCAGCCTGGCCTGGTGGTGCACACCAGTAATCCCAGCGCTCTGAGAGACCAAGGTGGGAGAATTGAAGCAAGTTCAAGGCAAGCTTGGGCTATGTAGTGAGTTCAAGACCAGCCTAAACCATGTATAGAAACTCCGTCTCAAAAAACATACGAACTCTTCCTAAGGGAATCAGTTCTTCAAATGTAAAATTAGTTTTATTTTTATTTTTTTGACACAAGGTCTCAACGAGTTGCCCAGGTTGGCCCAGAACTCTCAGGCTTAAGTGATCCTCCTTGTTCAGCCTCAGAGTAGCTGGGACTAAGGTTTAGGCCAGGGGACAAGGTCTGGTGTGTATGTAATAGAGCATGTTGATAATTAGGTTGTCAGTAGATGTTAAAGATAAGCATCCCCCCTGCAAAAAAACAACTTTTCAACTTGACTGACTACCAGATTTCTTTTGCTCTTCATTTAGCATTTTAGAGACATCTTTCCCTCTGCCAGTAAATCCAGGTTCACAATAAGTAGCAGAGCCACGGTACAGGGAGAATAGAGGAGAATGTATCTGAGCCACAGCCGGGAACATTTGAGTCAGTTTCCATGTCGTTTAATTCCCCTCAGCGAGCCCACATTGGGTACCTGCTGTCTCTCTGTGCCATGCTGTGCGCTGCCATTGGATCTCGGTCTTCTGTCCAGCCCTCATGTTACAGAATCCTGACGGCACTGCACGGTGGTTTTTCTCTGGGGTTTTTTGTTGGTTTGTTTTGAGACAGAATCTCACTCTGCCGTTTAGGCTGGCCTAGAGCTCAGTTTGTAGTGTAGGTTGGTTCTCTCTGTTTTTAAGTGGATATTTCATTTTATTAATTCATTTTCTTTTTTTTATTTGTTTGTTGATTGATTTTTATGGTTTTGGGTTTTTTTCTCGGTACTGGGAATGGATCTCATGACCCTGCACGTACAAGGCAGGAGCTATACTGCTGAGCTGTATGGTTTTTTGAGACAGGACCTCACTATGTGTTCAAGGTTGGTCTTAAACTCTCACTATGTAGCTCAGGCCGGCCTGGAACTCAGCCTCCTGAGCACTGGATTACAGGTGTGTGTCACACATGCCTGGCCATTTTATTATTTCATAGAAAAGCTCTTCTTTTGTATTTATAGAATGATACTCTTGCAAATATAAATCATTAAACATAACTATATTTAATCTGTACTCTAAAAATTACTAAAGCTAAGACAGGCATGGTGGTGTACATCTGTAATTCCAGATCTCGAGGGGCAGGGCAGCCTGAACCACATAGCAAGACTCTGTCTCAAAAACAAAACAAAAATAATCATCAAATAAAATTACTAAAGCTAAGAGTTCTTTTGGAAGTCCACACTAACTGGGCTTGATGGCACATGCCTGCAATTCCAGCACTTGGGAGGCTAAGGCAAGAGGATCACCATGAGTTCAAGTGTAGCCTGCACTACAGAGTGAATCCCTGTTTCAAAAAAAGTCCGTACTGAAGCAGGGAACAGAGACATTCACCTGTAACCCTACCTACTTGGGAGTCTCAGGCAGGAGGGTCACAAGTTCAAGGCCACCTGGGCAGCTTAATGAGACCCTGTCTCACAATAAAGAATAACAAGGGCTGGGTGTGTAGCTTGGTGCAAAGGACCAGGTTCGGTCTCAGTACTGGGGAGGGGCCACTCAGGGTAGAGTACTGGCATATGTAAGACCGAGTTCCCTGCCCAGCAACGCAAAAACAATAGCAACAAAACAAGAGTCATGCGAGTATACAGTGGGAGCTTCCACTGTATATTCATGAACTTAATTCATTCCACAGCTCTGGAAAAGATGGCAGCATTGGTGAGCCCATGAGGAGTTTGCACACAAAAGCAAACCAAACTCTTGCCAAATTCTCCTCTTTGCCAGCCACATTGTATTACAGCAGTTTCCTCTCATATTCTGAATCTGTGTGGTGCTCATGCACACCGTACGGAAAGGTGCTCAGATAGCAAGGCCAGCAGGAGCTCAGCATGCCAAGGAGTTCTGCAGCATTTAGGGCTCAGGGGATTCGGCCTTCCTGCGGCTCACCCCCCTCCCCCGGGTCCCTGGTGGTAAATGGAGTCCTCCTTCCAGTCCAGTTTGAAGGATCTGAGCGACCTTCGGCCAGGGAGGAGACAGTGAGGCAGCACCACCGGCAGAAGAGCTGGACCCAGAAGATCCTGAAGCCAGCCCTGTCCGACCCCAGCGATGGGGAGAAGAAGGTGGACCCCAGCCTGGCCCTGGACAAGCAGCCGTGAGTGTCCCTGGCACGGTCTTCACAGCCCTGGTGCTCAGTGGGGCTCGGTGGGGCTCGGTGGGGCTTGGTGGGGCTTGGTGGGGTTTGTTCCTGCACAGGGGGTGAGTGGAAGGTACACCAGCTCCAAGAACTGTCCCACACGGAGTGAGACTCACAAACCACACCAGCTTTTCACTCCTGTGTGTCTGCCGGGTTTTGGACCCAGGACGCCCGCCCCCAGCTGCACTTTGTCTCTTCTAAATGTGAAACGGCATCTACTTCAGGCTGTTGAGCTTCCGCCTAAGAGATGTTGGTTTTTACATCTCCATACTCACGACCTTCCTTCACCCATCTTCCAGCTGGTATCACGGCGCCATTACCCGGGCTGAGGCCGAGAGTCGTCTACAGCCCTGCAAAGAAGCTGGGTACCTCGTTCGAAATAGCGAGTCGGGGAACAGCAGGTACTCCATTGCACTCAAGTAAGTATTTCAGCCTCCGGCCTTCTAGGGCCAGGGAGGGTGACCATCACTGCCTTCCCTGCCTTTGGTGGACAACCAGTTAAAACAGACGTTGGGTGCAGTGGCACATGCCAGTAATCCCAGCACTTGGGAGGCTGGGGCAGGAGGATTATCATGAGTGTGAGGCTAGGCTGGGCTACATAGTTCAAGGCCATTCTTGAGACCCCATCTCAAAAAAACAAAATTAGTTAATAAACAAAATAGGTGTCATTTGAAGGTAGCTCACAGACTGTGTCCAGAAAATAAGGTGATTTGCTTGGGCAAGAAAAACCCAAGCACAGTGGTTATGATACAGGATGGGGCAGGTGAAAGGCTGCCAAACCTGTCCTAACAAGGGCCCGTTTCATTAGCATTGTATATCAGTCAGCTTCTGCCTCACATTGCCTGGTCTGCAGGAGAGCCTCTCAGTAGATAAATAATTCCTGATAAAAAGAACACTCTCCTACAGATGGCTCAGTTGCCTTCTTTTATACGTTAGTGCTACAGAACTTAATAAATTGCATCCTTTGATTGTCAAAATGCTAACTGCAATTTCAGTACCCGTCTCTTATGGCGATGGAAGAAGCATCACTTGCCCATCCCTCCTCTAGCTGAACAGCACACAGAAAAGGTGCTTTTGCCCAGCAGGCTGGGCGGAGTGTGTATCATGGAAATTCTCCTTGCTCTGTGAGTTCAGCCGCACTGCATTGGAGGATCATTGTCAAGAGTCCTAACAGCATTTCCTTCCTGAGGAAGCTGAGCCCCTGTGCTGAAACAATCAGACTGGAAGGGAAAAGCCGGTGGGGGGCGACGTGGCTCAGAGAATGGGAAGGGCTACCAGATACACAATACCAGGAATAGCTCAACTGTGTTCCTGAAATTGGGATTTGTGGATTAGATCTGTGAGCCTACGGTGCCAGCTGTCATTATATACAACCAGGAATGGTCTTTCCACATGAGGGGACAGTTATTATTATTATTAATGTGTGCTTTTTGGAAAAAAAACAGGGAAAGAAATTTCACCTATGTCCTTTTTAGCAGTAGTGAGGGCGGTGAGCTCCTTCCCCTTAGCAGCCTTAGGATTGGACTTAAGCAATAATTTTGTTAGTGGGGGGCCAGAAGGGACTTGGCTTTCTTTTTTGGGTCCTATACCTGATGACTCATGTGCAATAAGAAAAAACAGCTCAAATGTGACTTGCATGGAGGCCACACCGCAGGGCTTGCATGCGCTCTGCTGGAGCCTGTGTCTCTGTCCTGTGCAGGGATCCCAGGAGTGGGAGGCCCAACTGGCCCACCATGAGCCTGGCTGGGGCTGCATTCACAGGGAGGAGTCTCGGCTCACTCATTCACATCTCCTCTATGGTGTTTGTGTCACTCCAGGACAAGTCAAGGATGTGTCCACATCATAGTGGCTCAGACCAAAGACAACAAGTACACACTGGATCAGACGAGCGCCGTGTTTGACAGCATCCCAGAAGTGGTGCACTACTATTCCAACGAAAAGCTGCCTTTCAAAGGGGCAGAACACATGACCTTACTATACCCTGTGCACAACAAGCTTCACTAAGGTTCAACAACAAGAGCCCTGGGCTCCTGGCACCTAAGAGGGCATGAACCCAGCCAGCATCTTGGGATTAGATGGGCTGCTCCTCAAACCCAGGACAGAGCAGGATCTTACGTGGACTCAGCAAGCTTTGGTCTTGAGCCCTTCAGTGACCCTTGGTGTCTAGCTATCCTTGTTCTCCTTGCCAAGTAGCTGCACAATGAGAAGCCATAATTTAGTGTTGATTCCTTCTCTGGGGTAGTTTGGGGTGTGACCCTTGGAAAAGGTAAGTCTGGAGTTCAGGAATATCGAAGTTCTCCAGCACTATACTGGTCATTCCCTGGGACACCTGCTCTCTCAAACAACCATGGAAATCACTAGGCTTTAACACAGGCCAGATGTGTGTACGTGTTAGTTACACCCTTGTGGGAGAGTCGATAGGCTATGGGACATTCTCTTCCTCCCTCGGGGGTCCTAATACAGCTCTAGTGTTCATGCCAAAGCACAACACTGGCAGAAGGACTACTTTGTTGGTCAGCCTTTCTAAGAAGCTTGCACTGGGCATATCTGTGCAAGCCAGTAATCCTAGCACTTGAGAGGCTGAGGCAGGAGGATACGCATTTCAGGCCTCCTGGAGCTATGATGAGGCCCTGTCTCAAAAACCAAAGGTTTGCATTTTCTCAGTCTGTATGAACTTTTTCATCATTTTTGTGCAAATGAGTAATATAAGCATAAATTAAAAGGAAGATACCCTGTGTAAGAATCTATGATGTAGGGGGCTGGGGATTTAGTTCAGTGGCACAAGCGCCTGCCTGGCAAGTATGAGGTTGTGAGTTTAAACCCTGGTACCTGGTGATGTAATTAAAAATTAACAATAAACTATGCAAGATTTTATTTCTGATTTTTAAAAGTTCCAAAAATTTTGAAGCCTGATAAGCATTCTCTTATAGGATAATTATATAGAACTTTAGATAGCTTTTATTTCATCTCTGTGTTTTTTAGTTGCCATGGAATCATCTTTAAGTATTGTCTCTAAAATTAGATTTGCTTATATTTTAGTAAATGTTTTAAAAACAATGATTTTGGGGTCTGACTGTGTGGCCTGGGTTCCTGGAGTCTGTGAAGTCTCCTTCTGCAGGGCAAGGCCAGTTCACACTGTACCAGTGTACTTTGAGGACTTCTGGGTTGTCCTCACTACTGTTCTGTGCTGTTAATTGTCATATATTTTACCTTTTTGATTTGTTGTGACCACGTATCGCCAGTTTATTACTGTGAAAACCTCGTGGCAACGACGTGCTGTGACAAGAGTGCTGTGGTCAGCACGGGACTGATGTTTCTGTGCCACAGGGTTTGTGACTTGGTTCTTAGAACTGGTCCAGATACAGATGGGCTGATTGTCGTCAATGTCTAGTTAACTTCTGTAGCTCCTTTCAAACACAAGTCAAAAAAAAAAAAAAATGATTTGATTAAATTATTAGGAAAGCACCTCTTTCTAGTTTATAGTGATCATTTGACTATCACGATTTAAAGGCTAGGAAAATTTTTGCTTCCTTTTCAGTGATGATCTTGTCTCCAAAGACTTGTGCGATCATTAGTATTAAAAAATTGAAAAAGACACTAAAAAGTTGAGAGGAACTTTTCTAACCAGAGTTCAATTATTTTGTTAATAAGAAATGGCTCATCTTTTTAAGTATTGTAAGAATTTTTAAACTGCGTACTGTGTTGTATACTGTATCTTTAGTACAAGGGTTTAATTCTGTACCCATACGTCCAACTCTATTCAATGAATATTTATTATTCTCTGTTTCATACATTGTGCTAAACTTATTTTTAGATCAGCAATTTAGCAATTAAATCTCATATTTTACTTAACCTTATTTTATAAAATAAATACAGCAGTTATTTTAACTTTAATAAATGCAAAGGGCTTTATAAGTTTTTTCTTGGTGCATTAAATGATTTTTGGCCCGTACCCAGCAAGTCTGATGAATGTATAATGAAATAACATTTTGAGAACAGACCTGACACAGTATTTATTGAGTTATCATATGCCTAGGATTGTGCTTCTATATTTTTCCATGACCTGCTGTTTGTGTGTGTGTGTGTGTAATTAAAAGTGGATTTCTTCTAAAAAGTGGCAGAGATGCAGAGTTTATAAGCAGTCTAGTCACTCTGTGATTATACAGAAGATTATAAAAGCAGACAGAGAGTAGGTTAGTGGAAGGCTGCTGAGGAGGATGTTAAGCTACTGTTTTCATCTTCGATTGTGACACAAGCTGACAAAATGCAGGGAATTCGTAGCCGGGTGGTGGCTTTGAAGTACCCTGCATTCTGAAAACAATCCGGCCCAGCAGGGCATCCTAATGGCTTCCTCGCTAGGCCTTGAGGCCAGATCTGCGGCCTCCAAGCCCGGGCTCTTCCTCATTTTGTTTGGATGTAGTGTTTTCCTGTTGTCTTTATTCTCCTGAGCTAATTGTGCCTTGCAGAATTTTTTCTGGTGAGAATAGCGTCTTTGGGTGAATTCTTATGTGCTGAGTTCAGCTCTCACAGCTGTGTCTATTCTTCGTCCATTATCACAACTTTGTAAAAGCACTGCTCTGCTGAAGGTTCTGAGTTGCACCGTTGGTTCCCTTCAGGTGTGTAAGCACAGAGGGCAGCCCTGAGCAGTGACACAGGTATAGTCCCAGCTACTCAGAGGCTGAGGCAGGAGGATGGCTGGAATCAGGGGTTTGAGGCCAGCCTGGGCCACGGCTAAGACCCCATCTCAGAAACACAAAAGAGTGGGCAAAGGGCATTCTTTACTTCTGTTGATGCTGTGGCTTATTTCTATCAGGATGGATTTCAAGTACTAGAACAGTAGGTGTTTAAGGTAGGAATTTAAAAACATTTTAATACATGTGCAAAAAGGCAAGTTTTGACATGCCTGCTCTGTACCGGGCACCCAAGTGTCCTCTAAGTTATGCAAGGTGCTTGGATAAGGAGCAGAGAAAAAGCCTCCATTCTGTGCTGCTGAAAGTGCTTTACTGAACTGGTGTTCATTCACTGGCCTCTACCACAGCGTGGCGGGCGGGAAAGGCAATGGGAAACAGCCCCAAGTCACTGATTACATCAGTTAACCATGTTACTACTATGTCCTTAGCTTTTGCTGTTGGATGCTTTCTTTTTGTTTTTTGAGACAAGGTCTTGCTTTGTAGTTCAGGCTGGCCTTGAACTCACAGTGATCCTCCTGCCTCAGCCTCTCAAGTTTTGTGATTATAGGTGCATGCCACTACGACTGGCTGCTGAATACATCTCAACATTTACTTTAATTCAGAAGGAAAACCGTGAAACAGACACACCTTCAGTTGTTTTTTAAGTGAGTTATTAAAATGCCTTTTGTTAGAGGTTCCTGTCTTGTTTTTCCTCACTCTTGGGAGAAGAAACCTGGAGGTGTCTGGATTTCGTTTCTCTTGGGCATGCTTTGTGTTTAACAGGATTTCACTGATACCTTTCTTTCTCTATGTTTGGATAGTTATACCTCATTTGTTAGTTGCCCTTTCTCACTTTCTGTAACTGGCAGTCGTTTGGCCTTCTGATCTCTTTAGCATCGCCTTTTTTTGTTATTTCCAGTTCTTGCACTCCACTCACCTCGATTTAGGCTGGCTGCTTGCTGCTGGCCCTCTGTAAACTCAGCCTCCTTCCCAGCTGACCCTGGGTAATAATGAACGGTGGTGTGTTACTGCCATCTACTGGAAAGAGAGGAAACTGCAGTTGGGAAAGCAAGCTGCGTTAGGGCTAGCATTCTCTAAAGGGTTTCTGATAGTCTATACAGGGAAATAATGGTGACACGGCAGTAGTCATCTTGCTGTGTGTCCTTCCCTGAGTAAAGGATGGTGTGAAGCCTCATATAACCCCCAGCCACCGGCGGGGTCATGAAGCTTCAAATCTTATATTGTATTTTAGTGGACATACTGGAATTTAATCATTGAGATGGGCAACTCGTTCTGTCAGGTTCTTAGCTATTTGTTATTTTGTCAGAAGGATTTAACATTTTTGTATCGGTATATTTACATATACAATACATGTTTTGAACTTTTAAAGCCATTTGAAAATTGTATGTGACATGGGTGTCTGTGTATATAGTGCCCTGGTAATTTATATTGTATCAGAAATATTTTATAAAATTTCTGAATGTCTGGGAGAAGCCAGTACAGGCTGTGTACTCTGCTGAGATGGTTTACTCTGAAATGTAACTTTCAATAAACATTATTATACCGAGAAAACGAGAGTGTCTTTGCTTAATTCAGTTTTGAGAGTCACTTCCCTTACTAAGGAGCACTTCCGGTGCTAAGAGCTGTGGCTGAGCTTTCTTTCTGGGGGCTGGTAATAAAATGAACAAGCGATGTGGTGGGGCACAGCACTGAACTGAGCCTGTCTCCCCACTTCACATTTATTCCCCCCCCCCATGTCTTCCCAAATACATTGTAACCCAGTACAGGTCTAGGTGTAGCTCAAGGAGAACTCACCGACTGTGGGAGCCCCAGAAGAGAACCCCCACACTGCAAACAAATTTAATATAAAATGAAACAACACAGCACTGTGTTCTGGTCCTGTTTCCTTGGCCTGCCTGTGTATACATTATTTGCACTGATTCTCCTCCCTCTCTGGACACTCTGTATCATTTTTGTTACTAATACAGATGCTCCCATCCCATCTGTGGGATTTGATGCTTAAATTTAAGACTGTCATGAGGCTGTAAAATCTGTATTTTTAAAAAATTCCACAGGTGACTTTGAATCGCAGCCATATCTGAGAACCTCCGTGAGACATTATGGTGAAACATGGAAATACTGCACAGTCCTTTGAGATCCTAAGAGGGACTGCATCAAATTTTAGATTTCCAATGAACATTTCTATAAATTGCCACCAGGTGGTACAAGTGCCATCTGTGTTTAAGAGAAAAGTATGTCCTGAGTGCTGTCCTGGAGCAGCGGGTGTGATGTTTTTGGAATTGAGATCGTTTATGAGAGTCCAAGGATATTTTGGATATTGAATGTTGGTTTCAGATCCCATGAAAGGCCAAGGTGTAAGTCTCGCTGCATGTCAGGTGTGAGGCTGAGCAAATGCTTTTCGTCCCGCACGGTCTCATTTAAATCCTCTTTAACTCAGCAAACCAGCAGCAGCCTTGATTTTTGGCAAAGGGCGCTAGTTGATGGGGCAGTGCACTAAGCCCACCGTGGTCTCACAATGTACAGTGGAGCCCAGTGTTAGCCCGATCTGCCCTGGTCTGACTCTGCTGTACCTCCCCTCTCCCTGAGAAAGTGTTCTGCAGAACTCTTCACGTTTGAAGGACGCAGTTCAACTAACTACAAGGGCAGGGAATAATGAGCTACTCACTTGGTTTTAGTTACAAGTGGAAAAAAAAAGTGGCCAAGAAGCAGAAGCAATTCAAGTGTCCACTGACAGGTGAATTCTTAAGAAAATATGCAGAATAGAGTATTATTACACCCCCAAAAGGAAGGGCATTTCCACACGCACAACAACATAGGTGGCCTTTAGGACTTTATGCTAAGTGAAATAAGATATACATTGCTGTGATCCAATGTGGCTGCTGAGGTTCTTGGGGTTAAGGACCAAGAGAGGATGAGAAAAATAAAAGACAAATCTGGGGCCAGGTGGAGCCCTTATCCTCCTATTGGGAAGAAAGGAACTGCTCAACCACTGAGGCACCTTTATTTATATCCTGGGAAAGATGATGTCAATTTCAGCCCCTCTGCCAAGCAACCCATTGCGTGGCAGGCCTGGGCCCCTTGACTTGGTGCTGGAACATCTTGTTTACATAGCTTGTTTCGGCCTCTCTGTTTTTTCTGGGCTGGCCTTGCTTTAGCCCCACACATGGGATCAATCTCCAGGTTTAACGGCTCCCTACAATATAAACTGTGTAAGTCTGTGAGGTGCCCAGAGTGAGAGTCAAATTCACAAGAAGTAGAAGCCAATGTGGTAGTACACACCTGTAATCCCAAATTAAACCCAGTCTGGGCAACTTCGCAAGACTTTGTCTCAAAACTTTTAAATGGGAGTATGGCAGAGAATGCAAAAAGGCCCATGTTTCAGTCCCCAGTCCAAGAAAGAAAGAACAAGCAAGCAAGAAAGAAAGAAAAAGAAAAAATTGCCATGGGCTGGGAAGAAAATTGTTGCTTAATGAGAACTGAGTTTCCATTTGAGATGATAAAAAAATGTCGTCCAACAAAATGTCCTGGGCCTGCAGATAAGCTGCGTGATTTGGGCAAGGGAGGCAGGAAGCGGCTCCACCTCCCGAACAGCCTGTCCTGGGCTTGGCAGGCCCTGTCTGTCCGAGAGGCTCTGCCTGCAGACCTGGGCAGTCTGAAACCCTGGGCAGTGAAGTGGACCCACTCTGAGGAGTGACGGTTGTTTCCAAAAGCACCAGTTCGTCCCCACACTGAATCATACAGTTTGAGTTGCTGAGTTTTCTTGACTCCAAATGCTTCCTCCGTAACATTTTGTAATGATTCAGATGCCTTCTGATTTCTGTGCATAAATAAACAGGATTCCTAATTGGTATTAATTGTGTAAAAAGATATATTACTTGATGTGCATTTTAAAGCAAATTCATTCATCAAGGCATTAATCAAGATGCTGTTGACAAGTAAAAACATGTTTTACTTTAAGAGATTGTTAAAGAGATATGTTTATATTCATTTTGGATTAAATGGTACATTTGCAAAGTGAAACATTTCCCTAAAATCCTTGTGCTTTAAACAATATCAAACTTTATTAGAGAATAATATAACCAAACATCTACTACTGTCACTTGCCTTTGACAATGACTTTTAAGAATTTGTCTACAATCCCCGCCTCCTGCTTGTTTACATTTTTTTCTTTTCCTTTCCAGTAATTTGTTTTTTGAGACAGGGTCCCACTATGCTGCCAGGTAGGTCTTGAATGCCTAGGCTGCAGTGATCTACCTGTCTCAGCCTCCCAAGTAGCTGTAACTATAAGACACATCCCTGTGCCTGTGCCAGTGCACCTTGTTTTCATGGGCAGTACACTATAATTGAACTCTTCCGAAATAGATTGTAATTATTTTATAAAAAGTTGTCTCTCAGTGTACAAACACAATACCCATGAAAAACCATTACCATCGAAGGAAAAGGGATGGGCAAAACTGGTCTCTGTGACTTGCCACCACCCCGAGCTGCTTGCTGAAGTGGAAGAAAGTTCTGCACACAGCCTGGCCTCCTCCCACCTGGGCCCTGCCCTGGGCTCACACAGCTGCTGCTACCTGGAAGCCTCTTCCTCTGCCTCTGCACCCTCCGCCCCCACCCTTTCTTCCCTGCTGCTGGCGAGCAGGCCTGTCCCAGCTCCCGGGCACGCTGCAGGCGGCTTGGGCTTGCGGTGTGGCTCTCGGGCACGCTGCAGGCGGCTTGGGCTTGCGGTGTGGCTCTCGGCCAGGGCCGCCCCTCGGGAGGGCCTGTCACACCACAAGCCCAGGCAGCTTTCCTCAGGGCTCCTCTTCAGGGCTCTTCCACCCACAGAAGAGCAGCCATTAGTCCTTCAGGGGGAACAGGTGTGACAAGGTTCCCCCATCACCTTGAGGAAACTCATTAAAGTTTCTACCAAGGAAGCAGAAAGAGAAAACCAAGTCACGCCTCACAGTCCTGAGGTGTAGACAGATCTTACAGAGGAAAGGAAGTGGTTTGATTTGCTCTCCTTGAGTACTAACTTTAAGATCCCCTCCCTTTGTAGCCCGTGTCATTATGTCTCGTGGCTAGGGCCCCCATGAAAGCCCCTGCACTGTGCTCCCATGGCTTCGGTGTCCAACTGCTGGTCACACAAATGGGAGTGACAAACCAATGAGGAGCCCAGGTCCTTCTCCACTGGACCCAGCGCAGGGATGTAGCGGCCCTCTGAGGTGATCAGCAGGAGCAGGGCCTGAGCCCCGCCCTACAAGGTGACAAGGCGACAAGGACAAGGCGAAGGCACCAGCTGTGGGGCTGGGCTAAGCTGCCTCGGGGCTGGGCTAAGCTGCCTCTCGGCTGGCCAGGGCCATTGCATCGCTCTTCACCCATCTGGGCCACACTGGCCTCATCTGTAAGCAGAGGACAGTGCTTGCCTCGCAGCCGCCTGAGGATGAGGGAGAACTTCCTGTTTATGAGGCACCTGGTGGGAGGCTGATGAAGGCTCTCAGTAACCTGATTTTATAGGATTTCTTTTGCACTGAGTGGAGAAGGAACCCAGGGCTTCCTGTGTACAGGCAAGTGCTCTGCCACTGAGCAACACTCCCTGCCTTTCTGAGCTCATTTTAATCTGCCATCACTGCTACAAAGGGACAGTGGGCCTCCAGGTAACGGCCTGGGCTGGCAGCCTTTCCTGACACACAGGCCTGCAGTGGAACCTACGCAATAAACAACCCTCAGGTCTGAAGTTGAGGTGCCTGCATCACCCACCATTCCTGGAAACCTGTGGCTCGGCTCACTCCTGAGCTCATCCGCATCTCTGTTGAAACTGGCTGGAGACTTCTGCAGTGTTTGTGACCCACACCAGACCTGCTGAGCCATAGGCCCTGTGCATAGAGCCAGGTAGATTCTAACAGCTGCACCGCCCGTGTGTATGGCTCAGCAGGACGGCCTTTGGTCACTTTTCTGTCTCCCTCCATTCATGCTGGTCCCCAGCGTCCCGTCATTTAAAAACTGCTGATGGACTGGGAGTGAGGCTCAGGATAGGGGGCAGCATTTGCCTGGCATGTGCGCTGCCAAGCTGGCTTCCATCCCCAGCATCACACACACAAAAACGATATGATACTGAGCAACATATAAATTTAAAAACCAGGGCTGGGGATATAGCTCAGCTGTGTAAGTGCCTGCCCTGCAAGTGCAAGGTCCTGAGTGCAATTCCCAATACAAAAAAAAAAAAAAACCCAAAGAATAAAATTGCCCTCCTGGTAAATTTTATTCTTTAAACAAGTATAATGAAATGGCAAACACAGCTTCTCATCGTACAGTGAGATATTTTCTCTGAGGATACCAGACAGCTTTATTAAGTATTCTAAAGTTACTTAGCAGGCCCGTCCTTCAGTGACTGTTACAGTCCTGAAGTGAGAGCTTCACAATTGTACTGAAAAACTCAATTGATTCAGGTGCTGAGTTGCTATCACCTGTGACAGGACTCAGTTCTTCACAGCTATGGCGCTGCATCAGAACAGTTTTGTTGTTATTGTTTTGGGTGTTTGTTTGTTTGACACGGTCTCACTATGCGGTCCAGGCTGGCCTTCAACTCACCACGTAGCCCAGACTGGCCTCGAACTCGTAGTGATCCTCCTGCCTCAGCCTCCCCAGAGCTGAGATTTCAGCGTGTACCACCATGCCCGGCTCATTAGAAGAGTTTAAGGCCCTTTCCTCAGTACATCTCTGCCGCCTCAGGAGGACCAGTGGTGTTTCCTTGCCCTCCCCATGCTTCTCACAGATGTGAAGAAGCGCTGGTTTCCTTGTGCCTTGGTAAGCAGGGAAAATGCCCATGTAAGACAGTTTCAGGAACCAAGTGTTCCTTGCCATCCGCTACAGTCATCACCATCTGCTGCCTCCAGTTCTGGAAAGAGCGTTGTAACCATGTCATCCTGACAGTGATGCCATGAGGAATAGGACACAGCTCAATCCACCCCACACCCACTGCACAGCCCACTCAGCCCGGCCACCAGGGGGGACAGCTGGCCTCTGTGTAGTTCCCTGCAAGACAAGGGCCAGCTTCCAGGGGAGAGTTTGGTGTCCTTTGGGGCCAGTGGGGGCCTGTGGGTAGTTCTTAGCTTTCCTACTGCCCAGGTTGGGGGCAAGAAGCAGATGCCCTGATTTTAACTTTCAGTCTAAATTACATAACCCCCCAGGCCTGCCTCAGCCCCCCGCCTCCGATGCCCTAGAGTTTACACAGCAACTCTCCCCACAAAGCACCCGGGGGATGGCTTTTCCTCTGTTTGGAAGATGTGGATGGCTGGGTCCCAAGTTTTTTTCTATCTCAGACCCTTTTCAATAGGAGCCGGATTCAGCCTATCTGAAGATCAAAAATTCAGGGTGGCCTTTGTGATGCCGTTAGCACCCCCACCCAGGCTTCTGATGAATAATGGCCCTTCCTTTTCCTCCCATGCAGCGTCCATCATCTGGTAATGCCCCTTCCGGAAATCCCAGGACCCAGTCTGGGAAATACTTTCACAATTAAAGCCTTTTGAGGAATTGCTACATTTTTCTTGAACTTACCTGCTTTCTTCCAGAGCTGCTATCATCCTGTATTAAAGCGGCCCGAGTGACCTACTGAGCCTTCTCCTCCTTTCTCCTTGATAATCAAGCAAATACCAGGTGTGCAAAACAACGTTATCTCAAGTGCATTCTTAGAAATGGTTTATTTCAAATGTTTACAATTTTCATTTAAAATGCAAAATAGCTGGTAAAAAAGAAAAAGCATTTTAAAAATATAGCTTTATACTGACTGACTATACAGACATTAGCTTTGGGTATTTGCTTTCAGACAAGTAGTGGGCAAACCCCTTAAAACTATTATTTGTCTCTGAAAAACAATGTGGAGTTGAGGTATTGTGTTTAACAGATGTAATCTCTATCTATTAAGGTCTCTCTGTTAATTAACAGCCTTGCTACATGCTGTTCCAATCCTTTCTTTCCAAAGTGGATCTTGGTCTGAACATATGTTCACACAACTGACAGTGTTCCTTAATAATCATTAAGGTTGCCATAGAAACTTCCCACCACTGGTGCTAAGCCATACTGGGAACTCAAAGCAGGAAAGATCTTTTGGGGCCACTCAGGAGCACTGGCACTCAGGCCCTGAGCCACTGGCTTGCCCCCTCCAGCATGGCCCACTGTGGACTGCTGCATGGGAAAGGGCTGTGGATGGCTCTGCCCCGCTGCCCACAATGAGACACATTGCTCCACCTGACCGAGTCTCCTCCTCAGCTGGCTCAGCCTCAGGCCCTATGTGAGATTGTACAGCTCAGCGCCAAAGCAGTCGGGCGAGACATTCCTGAGCAGTCTTCGGCAAACCCACAAGCCACAGCCAGTCCCAGCCTGCCCACCAGGCTCTGCTCACCACCACATCCCTCCAATCCGGCTCCTGCATAGATGCTACAACTTGTCTTGGTGACCTGTTCCCTTTCTCCCAAGACAGCAAGGAAAAGGTGGAGACTCAGCATGAGCTCAGAGCTCAGCAAACAAACCTCAAGGGCACCATGCTCTCACTCACACAGGACATGTATGCACAGCCACAGCTACGCCCTTGAAATCTCAAAACATTTCATTAATGCTACCAGAACGAATTGTCACTTTGGCATAGACCTTGCTCCAGCATATCTCTGACTTTTCCTACCCCACAGAATGGGTTTTGGTGTCCAATCTAAATGGTCTCTGTCCTAACATGTCCCATGTGGCTGCGTGGCCAATGGCTGCAGGTTTCAAGTGAGCAACAACACTGTACGTGGTCCAAGGCAGCTTGTGGGCTGCAGAAACCCAGGAAAGGGGAGCTGGGGGTTAAACACAGTGCAGCTACCAGCCTGCAGACCAAGAAAGCTTACGGCCTAAGCGAGGTCTGGGTTCAGAGAAGACAAAGACGTCCTTCATTGACACTAGCTTATAAAAATAAAGGGGAAAAAAACCCTCTTTGATACAAAAAAAAAAAGACAGTTCCGGTATAGTAATAACGAAAGTAATAACAATTTGGAGATCAAAGCTGCCTAGCTCTGGAGACAATGAGCTATCTAGATTTAAATCTTCCTCCTGCACAGCTCTGCCCAGTTTTGGTAATGTTACTTGTGGGTAAAACCATGCACAAGAATTAAAGAACCGTGGGGGCAGAATCACCTTTTCTCATGAAGGTCCTCATTTCTAATATTTTCCTTTCACAGTTTAAAAGAGTTCCAAAAGCTTTACAGGGAGAGGTAGAGAGGCCATGAATACTTGCTTAACTTTCGTCAACTTAGCATACGGCACCTAGATCAGCCACAGGGTCTAACCTGTACAGTCAAAGCCGGCGATGAAAATCACTACCAGCTCAAGGTCGCGGCAAGCAGCAAATAGGACACAGTGGCTTTCATCCCTTGCCACCTGTCTGCTGGCAGTGATGTTTTTCTCAAAGGGCAAACTACAAGAAAAGTCTTGTGGTTTGGTAAGCTTGGGGTCTGTGGTTGCACAACTCATTTTAATCACAGCTGTGTTGTGTGGACATCTGTCTGGGTGACCACTAACATCCCGACCCTGGACAGATGTCAGCTGAGGTGTTAGTCAGCATCACACCCACATGCTTGGTGAGCGCTTCTGTCCTAGCCGGACTGAATTCAGCACAAAGAATGAAGTGAAAGGAGGAAGGCACTGACCTACGGGATTTTCTTAAATGAATTTCCCCTCTGATAACAGGGCGAGGCGGCAGGGGTGGGGAATTTCAGGACCGTGCCCTGTAACCATAGGAGACACTCAAGGCGGGAAAGAGTCACCCGTTCCTTCACTCCCACCCAGAGCAGCAGCCGCATCTGTCTTTCCCCTCAACCCCAGGAGCACCAGCCTATTTTGGCACTTTGTACGGCAAAAACAAAATACGGACTGAAACCAGAATCTCTTCTCTAGTAGGGGAAAAAGTTTTCTCCTCCTCCTCCCTTTTCACTTAACTTGGTTTTATGCTAAACAAAGTTATCATGCTTCCCCAACCCCAAGCTATTTATATACTGACACCCAGAGAATATTAGGTCTTCCCACGTCTCAAGAGAAAATAGCATTTAAAAAAAATTAAAGTACATTCTTGCCGTTTTTTGTTTTTTTCCACATGAACAAGTTCTTTTCTAGTTACTCAGGCCCAGTGGACCCCAGAGTTGACCAACTTCATGCAACATTCTACTCTCAGCCCTGGCAGCGGCCCTCCTGCTGCCAGCCCTCCTTGGGGTAGAGAACATGGCTTTCAGAGCTTTGGTTCCCTCAACCATGACCAGGACCATGGAGACCCTGTCTCTCTCCCTCTTCCCTCTCTGCTTCTTTCCTCCTGAAACCCTGAGATGCGATCAAGCCAGTGCGGCACTCCAGAGTCATCAAATGCCTAGGATTAAGTATCATTCACATTAAGCAAAGATCATGAGGAACTAATTAAATTCCACTTAAACCATCAGGTCCTGAGATACTATTCACTACAACCTGCCTTCCCACCCCAAGCTCTTGTTCAAGTGTAAGAAGAAAGGCGGGAAAGAGTTCTCTCCTTCAGCTCCTACGGTTTACACAAAGCCCTCACAGGCCTAGAGAAAAACAGAATGGCAAAGGCACTTGGGCTTCCAGAGCTAGAAGAAGCCCTAAGTACAGCGGCCAGGAATGCACAAAGGGGACAGCTTAGCTGGAAACCCAGCTCATCTGCCCCAGGTTGTACTTGGGAGTTTGAGTTGGATGCGGGTGACCAGAAGCTCTTCACACCCACAGTGTCTCTCCTCAGCTCTCTGTGTTGGCCTGAGCTCCTTTTAGTCTCTTTTAAGCAGAGCATTTGGGAAGGGAGGCTTGAGAATTCAACCACTTCTTTCTTCCCTCTGGACGGATGCAACACACTGACCTCCCCCAGTGTCAAAGTGTCCCCTCCCGAGGCTCTTCTGCAACAGGGAAGCCACAGGCCCCGCCCTGAGATGTGTGGGATGGCAGTGAGACTATCTTCCATCGTGCCAGCCGTCCAGTGTCTGACAGCCGGCTGCCAGGTGCCGCCCAGACAGCTATCTGGAGAAGAAGTAGTCTCTGTTGCTGATGTCGTAAGGACTTTGTGGGTCCTTGGCATCGGGTCGGTTTTGGCTCAAGGTGTTGTCGGATCCGAGGCTGCTGGGAGACACTGGAGGGGAGAGTAGAGGAACAAGCACAATGGTGGGCCTGGGCTGCCCCAGGGGATACGGTGGGTGCACACTCGGCTTGCACTCCTGGAGAGACCGTGACTTCCAGGTCCTCTTTAACCTACGTACAACACAGAGAGAAACCAGAGAGATGTTAGGTCCCCTGTGATGCACCTCAGTGCAAAGCAGCAACCTCCAGCGGCCTGGCACTCCCAGTTCTCAGCTCCAGGGCAACAGTTATTCATCCTGTCAGCACTCCACATCCCCAAGAGCCACACGATGCTCTGAAGAGCCGGCGAATTTAGAATTTCAAAGCACCCTAAGAAGATAAGTATATATTATTGGTCCGATTTACAAGTAGGAAGACTAAAGCAAATCTCTATAAGCACAAAAAAAATCATTCCACAGTCCCTTAATTTGTCCTGTTCCTGGGGCTGCCCAGTAGTACACAACATTGGCCACAAATCCCTGTATTTAAAAAGAAAATGGGAGTATTCTCTAAGCAAGAAAAGAAAATGAGTCTCTTAGTGCAAGTGGGGCTACAGGGGGGGAACCATCCGCAACCACCATGTACTAGCAGGGAAAGGGCTGAGGTCCCCTGGCCGCACTGCAGCCCCCCATCACCACCAACAATCCCTCCCTGCCCACTCCCTCCAGCTGAGGGGAGCACTGCGCCCACTCGCACGTGGTCACCACTGGGCACGCGCTGACTCCTCTAACGGGAAAGTGGTTGTTAAGCAGGAAAGAGATAGACATCTCTCTGATCACAGCTTCCCTCACAGAGCCCCACTCTGGGCCCAATGCCAGGGCTCAGCAACCGAGCAAAGCCACTTAACAGCTTGGAGGAAGACAGCGGTGAGTGGTGATAGCCATCTTCGAAGGTACAGTCAGATCTCCTTCCTGGAGGGGCCCGTGACAGAGTGAGGCCACCAGGCCTCTCCTCCCCTTGCTTCCCACTATGCAGCTAACTTGCTGCCTCCTAACCCGAAACCTGGAGCAGGGTGGCCTCCCTCAATTCCACCCCATACGGGCTACTTTAGGAAGGAGGGGAGACCAGAGTCACAAACAAGATCAGGGCATTTTCCTTGGATTTCTTTTTATATCAGCAGGCTATTCCCGTCCTTGTTATGATAAATAATTGATAGTTGGCTCCATATCTGCCATTGGCTCTTAGCCTGCTGTCCAAGTGGAATAAACAATCTGCAGAATGTTACTCAGGGCTTTGCCACTTGGATACGAAACAGGAAGAGCCCGGCAGGGGTGATTACTGGACTTAAGCTGAGCTCTTGAGTAGAATTCTCTTTGTTGAGAGAGGACTGAGGACAGCATCATTGTGCCCTGCATTATGAGATGGCCAGACCCCCTGCCCAAGGATTCTCCTGGGAATACACCTTAAAGCAACCTCTGAGCTATGGAAAAGTGTTAGGCACATGGATGCTCAACACAATGTTGTCTACAAAATCAAAACAATAACTAGATGCCCAATAATAAGAAAGAGGTTAAGTGAACTTGGGTATGTCCCTAAAAGAGGGGTCTGCAGTTAGCTAAGTTTGCAGTTTGTAATAAGGAGAAAAATGCTTGCTTTATAATGATAAATTTAAAAAGTAGGTCTTAAAATTATAGATACAGAATAACACAGCTTTATAAAAAACAAATATGAAACTATACAGAGGAAAAAGACTCAGAGGAAATTCACTTAAACGTTTAGTGTTCTTGATATAGTGTATACACTATTGAACCCAGGGCCATCACACTAAGCCAACCCCCAGCCCTGCTTCATATTTAGTTTTGATACAGGGTCTGCGAGTTGCTGCTTGGATGGGCTCAAACTTGCCATCCTCTTGGCTCCGCCTCCCAGAGTGCTGAGATTACAGATGCCTGACACATCTGCCTTGCAGCCGGCTCCTTACGATGCACACACTTCTCTGTATGTTGGTTAGACTTTATCACATTTATATTTTAAAAATTAACAGGAGTTATCTTTAGGTAAAATGATTTTTTTCTTTTCTGTCAGGGTTTAACACATTACCTACAGTGATAGCAATCTTTCCCCTCTGATTTTTTGCAAGGCAACTGGGTGGGTAGCCAGAGTTAGCTTTCCTTTTGAAGTACTTTGAGGAGCAAATGAAACCCTGTGGGAAATCACTAAGCTCAAAGGGGCCTTTGACTCTAGCCGGCTGGGCTGGGTGGGGCAGGAAGGACAGGGTGATGTGGAAGGAAGAAGCAGATGAACCACGGGCTCCTTTACACCTCCACCTTCACCTGGTATCTACTTTACAAATTCAGGCTTTATAACATTTTGCTTAAAGAAAATGTTCTGTGGCTACAAAGGTTTTTTTTAAAAAACACTTGCTCGTTTTTTTAAAAAAATGAGATATAGAAAAAAAGGCCACAGAGAATACACTCTGCGCTAGCCACTTCTGTGGCCTAGGACACCATGCAGGTCTTCTGTCCGTGCCCTGGAGGGAGTCTGTGACTGCACATGGGAATGAGACCCTCCACACAGGAGTTTTCAAAGCCGCGGCCTTCACCTAGAGTCCTCGCCTAGCACTGTAAGTCCACTCTAGACATATGTGGGAAAAAAGAATTCTCAGCTAGAACTCCACTTGCCCAGTGCTGGGTATCACAAAATATAGAGGGGGGTGGTAGTGGTGGAGAGAACTGGCCCCTGAAAGCCACAGTGTCCACTTCAGAAGATGGTATGTATTTACAATTAAACATTATCACTGATATTGCTGGAAAAATTTCAGGAAAATGCTTTGTTTGGAATGCAAAGTAAATGTATTAAAAGCAAAAATACAGTATCCTGGCTGGCAAGATGGCTGCCACCACTCCAGTGTGTGGGGTAGTGAAATGGCCATCCCAGCAGTCACCTAGGGTCAGCCTCTTGGCACTACTTGGCCCCCACAGTGTACCTAAGTTTGTACCCTTTCCTTGACAGGAGGACCTGGGGACCAGAGGCACTGTCGTCATTTGGAAACAACTGGTCTTGTAAAAACTATTTTAATGTAGAGAAAACTTTAAAACTTGTATTTTTAATACTAAGCAAATTTCTAACAGGGTAAGACTGGGAGACAGAGCCTGTTCCTATTATTAGAAAGCTACAAACTTAATGAGCCTTGATACTCTGGTGCCAATTGCAAGATAAGTGTGGCTTAGCCAGGAAGAAATGTTTCTCTTCTAAGTCCCAGAGAGTTACCACTTCAAGGACACCTCTGTCGGGTCTCAGACAGTGATGGATTTTTTCTCTATGTTGTACGATAGTAACCTCATATAGTTGCTGTTTCTAAATTCCGCCTAGCAATTAAGGACGAAGACATGTATAACTGTAGAATATTATGTTACCTGTCTTATGTACTTTCTGCTTACAAATCTATATAAACAAAACCCAAAGCTGACTCAGGGCTGATGATTTGAAACTGAGATTCCCTTCAGCCCGCTAATGTAATAAAGCTGTGTCTTTCAAAGTTCCTCTGGTGCTGTGTCTTCTGTCTGGTTTGGTCCTGAACCCCATAACATTTCCTCTCCTTATAAATGTGCCTCACACAGAAGCCCATAGAAACTCACCAGTCTAAAAAGCAAATTGTTCATGTCCTCAGCCCTGAGCACTGGCCCTGTCTGTGCCTGCAGGGGCTCCAGTTGCTTAGCAACCAGCTAGCAGCCAAGCCTAGCCAGCAGGTGAGCCTGGCCTCTGATGCCTCTCTGTCAGCAGTTAACAGCACACAAGACGCCACTGCCTGTGAGGACCTACAGCAGGACCAGGCCCATTCCTGGCCAACAGCAAGCTAGGACCATGAGCAAGGGCTCCAGGGGACACGTTCCATTCCTGGCTCTCGCTTAGTTTTGGGCAAGTTATTTTATATCCTGAGGCTATTTCCTTAAACTAAATTGTTTGACTAGATGACCCCTGTGGCCCTTTTCAAAGAGCGTGAGCTGTGGGTCTGAATCTTGACCTTCCCTTCACCAGCTGCCAAATGGAAATCATGTTATCTGCCTCTGCAGCCTCCTGGTAGATTATGAGACCCACGGAAGAAATAATGCAGAAAGCCAGGCATGTTGACACAGGTCCTCAACCCTGGCGCTCTCAGAAGCTGAGGCAGGAGGACTGCAAGTTCAGGCCCAACCCGGGGCAGTGATTTAGTGAAACCCCACTTCAAAAAAAAAAAAACTAAAAAGGGTTGAGTATGTAGCTCAGTGCAAAGACCTCAGGTTCAGTTTGCAGTGCCATTAAAAAAAAAAAAAAAAAAAAAAACAGAAATAAAGAAAGGGAAAAAATGGAAGTGGAATATATGAATGTATACATGCATGAATACTGCCAGGACCCTTCTCTGGTCCAAAGATATAAAAGACTTTGATTTCTCTAAGAAGCTACCTCCTTTCATTCAAAACCTTACCCTCTGCACACCCACTGGACAGCTTGTTCACTACTTCATTGAAAAAAGTCAGTGAAGAGCTTGGGGTGTCACTCAGTTTCCTAGCATGCATGAGGCCTGAGTCCAATCCCCAGCCCTAGAAGTGGAGGCAGGCAGCAGGAAGAGGGACAACCCTCAGCACCCTGAGTGGTCTTCTGGCTGCTGTAACAGGGTCAGTGAGACGAAAGCTAGTATTGTTAGTAGCAAGGACAGAGGCCCCAAAAGGAGTCAGGAAGTCCAAAGTGGAGTCTGCTGTGGTATCACTGTCCACGGATCTTATAAAACCATCTGCAGGTGACTACAGCTGTCTGGGACCTGCCCAGGGCATGATCAGGCAGGCCACTGGCTCAAGGCTGCATGGGCCCTGCACAGGTACTGCGCAGACACCGCACAGGTTGGATCCCAAAAAGTATGTAGTTTCCTGTAGCGTAGAGATTATAGTGCTTACCCATGCCTGAGCACCCTTCTGAGCCCTTAAAAATCCCCAGAAAAAGAGCCCTGTGGTTTTCAACGCAGAAGCCCTCCTGGCTCGCGGGAGCTTTACATCCTTGCCTTTATAGCTTTCGCTTTGTAGTTTTTATCTCTTAAACAAACTTGCTTGCGACCTACCCCGCTCCATCTTTACCCTCCTCCATCTTTACCCCGCTCCATCTTTACCCTCCTCCATCTTGGTGGCATTCTTTGCCGCTGTGGGGCATAATGCCAGTGTTCCAGTAACACCACTATGGCTGAGCGAGTTCTAGGTCCCTGTAAGGACCCAATGAGCAACACAAAGCTCTCTCTGCTGTCCTACCCCTCCCGGAACCCTTTTCTTTCTCCTCATCAGACCAACTCCACTTTCTCTGTGGTGTTGGTTGGTTCTCCTCACCACAGGCTGCTTTTCTGTGGCCCTCACACACCAGTAATCACCTCTCTGCATCCGGTTCCCTCCCTAGAGGGAACCTGTCCACCGAGTCTCCTACGGCTCTGCAACAGGGCTTAGAACAGGTGCTGTGTGAGCCATGTGTGCGCTCATTTGTTGGACAAATAAATGAATAAACTAATGTTCTGTAAAATTCTGATGACCAAGTGGGCAAAGGAAAGCTAGTTAAGAAATATGAGAACAGCCAGGCACGGTAGTGTACGCCTGTAATCCCAGCACTTGGGAGGCTGAGGCAGGGGAAGATGGCAAGTTCAAGCCCAGCCCGGGCTCCAAAATGGGTTCACGGCCAGCCTGAACGGTATAGCAAGACCCTGTCTCAAAATAAATAAATGAATAAATACATACATACATAAATAAAAAGAAATATGAAAACAAACCTAAGCCATGCCCACACCCATCTCACCTCAGGATGAGGCCAATGCAGAGGAGAGATCCGAAAGCCAGGCTTCCTCCAGCCACCAGGAACGCAGGCAGTGGTGCTGAGGAAGAATCTTGCACTGGAAACGAGAGAGAGACAGAGAGAGAGAGAGAGAGAGAGAGAGAGAGAGAGAGAGAGAGAGAGAGAGAAATGAGGAGGAGGAGAAGGGGAAGGAGAAAGAAGAGGAGGAGGAAGAAAAAGAGAAGTAGAAAGAAGAGGACAAAAGAAAAAGAAAACTACTTAGCTGTTGCTGTGAAAAGTCCCACAGGAACCTAAACCAACAGCCTGCTTAACGCACTGGTCAGTTTTCTGGCCAAATTCAACCCTAAAGAGCCAACTTTAGTTGAGTGCAGTGGGTCATGCCAATAATCCCAGCACTCTGGGAGGCTGAGGCAGGACAATTGCAACTTCAAGCCCAGCCTGGGCAACTTAGCTACTTAGAAAGAGCTTGTATATGTATATTTTTAATTTTTTTCTTAATTTTTAAAGGGCTGGGAAGCAGCTCGGTGCAAAGCCCTGGGTTCAACCTCAGTATAAACAAACAAACAAGCTGCCCTGAGCATTACCCGACAGACCCCAGAATTCTACCAGTTAGCAAAAGGTGAACTTTAAGCTCAGTTTCTGAGCTCTGCGGCCAGCCACAGACTCTCACTTTCAGAGTGGCTTTCCTGGTGACATCCAGCCTGTCCCCAGGCACAGAGGCTCTGTGGGTTTCCTCAAGGGCTGCTCCACTCATGAGGGTGTCCAGAGAGCTCGGGAGCTCTCAGGCAAGCAGTTCTCTTCCCAGAGTGTCACTCTCTCCTGGACCTCACAGAGCATTCTCAACACCCCTCTCCTGTGGGGCTCCTGCCTGTCCCTCGTGCTCCACCTCTAGCTGGAGTTCTAGAGAGCAGAAACTGCACACATCATCTTTCTCTCGGGGGCACTCTTGCCCTCTCTGCCTGGCACAAGGCAGATTCCAAAACATTACACTGAGAAATGAAAGAAAAATCCAGCTTCACAAGCAGCCATGTCTGCCCGCAAAAAGGCCTTCCTGTAATTTCCAGAGACTTCCAACAAGACAGAGGGTCACCTAACCAAAACCACCCTTCTCCTTCTGCCAGGAATGCTGCAGATGAAGTTGTAGCCCTGTGTGGTGGCCCATACTTGTACTCCCACCATACTAGGAGGCTGAGGCAGGAGGATGGTATGTTTGTGTGCAGCCTGAGCAATTTAGCAGGACACTGTATCAAAATGATTTTTCTAATTCTAAAGTGCTGGGAAGTAGTTCAGTGGGTCCTGGGTTCAATTCCAGTAACACACACACACACACACACACACACACACACACACACACACAAAGGCACAGGTGTATAGACCCAAGATACAGGTTTTTCTACCCAGCTGGCACCACTGTTGTGCAGATCCCACCTCCCAGTTCTTACTGCAGGCACCCACAGGGACAGGCATTGCCACACATCCTACTGGTGAGGGGCTCCAAGGACAGATTTTTCTTTTCTTTTTTTTTTTAGGCAGGGTCTCACTGTGTAGTCCAGGCTGGCCTTAAATTCATTATGTATCCCTCAAACTCACAGCACTCCTCCTGCCTCAGCCTCCCAAGTGCTGTGACGGTAGGCATGCACCACCATATCCAGCCCAAGGACAGATCTTTCCAGTGCATCTTGCATCTTGACAGAAGCAGCAGGAGGCTCACTTGCTCATTTGTTAATATTTCATCAACTATTCTCACTGTTCCTTATTCCAGTCCATAGCTGTTTACTGAGTGCCCACGGTGTACCTGGCTTTGTTCTAAGCTTCAGATGCAAAGCAAACACAATGACAATGTTCCTCCTCTCCTGGACTGTACGTTGTAATCAAGGAAGGCGGGCAAACCAGCAAGCATATAACACAATGTTATCACAAGCTATAATTGAATGTGACCAGGGTAATGACCAAAACCAAACCACTGGAAAGGAGCAAGTGACAATGGATGACAGGAGCTCTGTCAAAAGTGGTGTTCAGGAGGGAAAGACACGGGTGGGCACATGCTGGAAGAAGCTGGCCATGTGGTGGCCAGATAGGAGCATGCAGACAGAGCAGGAGGCAGAGCATGACCCCAAGCTGGAGCACACACCGAGGGCAAGGAGGCCTGGTGAACTAGGAGAGTGGGGGCCTCTGAGAAATCCCACCGAGACTCTGAGGAGATGCTGTTGAGCCAGGGCGAGCTTCGGTTCATGCTTTAAAGGTCATTCAGGGCTGGTTAGGGACTCAGCCTAGAAGCCAACAGGTCAGATGGCCCCTGCTGAAGCCATACAGGATGGGAGATGACAGTGGAGGGAAGCAGTCACCTTCCAGCAGGTCGCAAGGCACAGCGGCAGGGCGTGCTGAGAGGAGAGCATGCCTGCTGCCCAAGATCTGAGCAGCCCAGCAAACAGGTGCAGTGTCCAGAGATAGGGAAGATGGAGGAGGATGGGTGGGAGAATGGGTCTCTTTTAGACATGTGAAGTCTGAGGTTTCTGACAGGTTCCAGGTGGACATGTCCACCTGCAGCAGGATGCACATGTCCTGCCCCTCATTGCTCTTTCCAGGGTAGGGCTCAACAAGCTCATTGGTAAGTGCAGATGGAGAAGACCCAGCCTTCCTCCTCTGCACCTGCCCTTCCACCCAGCCTGATGCCATCCTAGCAGTACCGTTCAAGGCCCATTTTAAGGCATGCTGGTACACACCTGTATCAGTACTTGAAGGCTGAGGCAAGAAGACTTCTCATTTGAGCTGTGCCTGGCCCATTTAGCAACTTAGGAAAACTATGCATATACTTTCACTGTGGATCCTCTGCCAACAACAGAAAACCTCTTGCAAACTAGAAGAATACAAAAATGTCCAGTCCTTACCTGGCAGGCTTGTTGCTAATGGAGAAACTTGGTGATTACTGTCCTCTTCATCAGTAGTATGCACCTAAGAGAGACGTGACCTATATAGACCCATTTCTGTGGATTTAGGTGTCACCTCTCCCTCCAATCCCTGTATGGCCACCTAAGACATCTGGCCTTTGTCACTTCAAGCTTTCCTCTGTGATTTATACTGAGTCTCTATTTGGCTCAGATTTCTTCCCATTCACATCTCCGCCATAAGATGCCAGGCTCAGGCCCTGCCCAGGAGGTGCTCAAAGGTCACAGGACAGCTGTCCTGACAGGGGTAGGCACCATCACCTCAGGGACAGCGTGGACCAGAACCTCAGTTGCACCCCTCACAGCTACAGGATTGCTGTAGACTCCTGGATCCTCACAGCCTCGGTCCTGCTTCCTTCAGATCATCATGAGGATCAAATGACATGAGTGCACAGCCCAGAGCATGGCGGCAGGGCAGCAGACCCTAGGCAGTGGGACTCTTGGGCCCTGTAAGCAGGGACTGGAGAAGGTGCCAGGTCCATCTCACACCTGAGCTCCCTCCCTCTGCCTGTGGCTGAGCCTCCCAACTTAGGGCAAAGGGAATTGAGGCTCACGGGAGAAGATATAGCTGAACAAGAAATTGGATTACTTTGGGAATTTGTTAAGCAGCTCCAGAAGTAATCCTCTTTGTAGCCAATTATGATACCAACATCCACAGGGGAAGGATTCAGACAAGCTGAGCCGTGTCTCATGTTAAGCTGCTAGCAGTGTCCAAAAGACTAAGAGATGAAACCACAGCCTTCAAACCCAGGCAGCTCTGAGCACCAGGCAGAGCCGCTCTCCCTTCATAGCTTGGGGACTGGGACCTGCTCCACCCCTCATGGAGGCTGGGCAGGTACAGGGCCCTCAGCACAGCTGTGTTTCCAGCAGGAAGCAGAGGTGAGATTTTCACCACTTCCAGGATAGTGCCAGCCCAAGTTCTACGAGGAGCTGCAGCCCCAACCCTGCTGCGGGAACACGCGCTCACCTCTGTGATGTGGGGCACAGCTGGGGAGGTCCTGAGTTCTGCAGAGAAAAGGAATTAGTTGTCATTAGTGTCAGCACAGACTCTCAGTCCTACCAGACAGGCTCTACAAGCACAACAAAGATCACTGTATTATTTAAAAGAGCAGAACAGCCCAGCACAGTCCCTGCTACTCAGGAGGCTAATGTAAGAGGATAGCCTGAGCCCAAGAGTTCAAGGACAGCCTGGACCACACAGCAAGATGCCATCTCAAAAAAAAGAGACTGGAGCCTGGTGTAGGGGCACAAGCCTGCAACCCCAGCATTAGGGAAGCTGAGGCGGGATAACCGCTGTGAGTTCAAGTCCAGCCTGGATTGCAGAGTGAGCTCAAGGTCAGCCTGAACTACATAGTAAGACCCTGTCTCAAAAAACCCAACTCCTCCCAAAAAAGGCACCACTGGAAATAACTAAACATCTGACCTTAAGACATCATCAATGCAAATTATGATAGAGTACATAATGCAATAGTCCTTAAAATTTTTATAAGCACTATACAACAGATCCAGGTACCAAAACATCACAGTGTGTCCTATCAATCAATATGCTCATTTACTATGTGAGTGTACCTCATCAATACGCTCATTTACTACATCAATCACAAACAAAACATCAGTGTGTGCGCCACAGAGACAGAGTCACTAAGTAGCTCAGGGTGGCCCTAAACCACACAGCAATCCTGCCTCAACCTCCCCAGTGCTAGGATTTCAAGTGTGCACTGCAAAACTTGGCCCAAATGTGTATTTTAGAAAACTACTGAAGACATAATATATAACAACCACAAGACAGAAGAAAGTCCACATAGCTTGGTTTAAAGTTTCTAAAGAAACAAACCCCTGATATACCTATAGTATACTACATTATTTACCATACATTCATATACGGGAGGGGAAAAAATGGAAGGATACACATCACCCGATGGAAGCTCTGTTAGCATTTTCATTCCTTCCCTGTACCTGGATGGCAGTCAGAGGCGGGCCGGGCCCCCTCCACCGCTGCCTCCCCACTCCTGCTGTGAGCCCACGCCTCCTCCGTGGGAACAGAGCTTCTTTGGTAATTGCTGGAGCACAAGAAGACCAGGCTCAGAGCCAGAGTCCTGACCAGAAGCCAGCTCCATGGCAAATGAAGGCCTGAGGGACCATGGCAGGCCATGGGTGGAATGCTCTGGATTCCAAAATATTTTTCTTCTTCCATGAAGAAGTTTACAGCAGCACAGAAAGTGGGAGCACAACGATGATCCCTGCTGCCGATCAGTGGAATAAGGAGCTGGAGCTGCTGTCCTCAGGATGTGGGAAACCACACCGGAGCACTAGAGGGACAAAGAGTAGACCTGCTGTCCTCAGCATACTGTGGAAAGATGCCCAGGAAGGTAAAGAAATTGGCCTGAGCTTACACAGCAAGAGAACCAGAATTAAACCTAGAAATCACACTTGGGAAGCTTAGGCAGGAAGATTACCCCAAGTTTGAGGCCAGCCTGAGCTACATAGTGAGTTCAAAGCCAGCCTGGGTTACAGAATGAGGTCTTGTTTCAAAAATCAAAAATAAACAAAAACAACATAAAATTCATAGGAAAGACCTGGTTTCTTCTTCCCCTGTGTTCTCTCTTTGGTAGCCCAGCCTACCAAAGAACAATTAGACTCCTGCAGGAGGCCTGAAAGGTGAACCAGCATATGGGATGTGGAATGAAACACACAATCAGGAGCCAGGACAGAAACCTCAGTAGACCAGGATCAAAGGTGCTGGGATTAAGAATGCGTGATCACTAAATCAGTCCACTGACAGGACTGGCATTGCCCTAATCCTGGTAGACTGATACAATATAAGGAATAGAAAGAAGCTTATTTCTCCCTTGCTTTTTGTTTTGCTGTCTTCTGCCTGCCATGAACTGTTCTCTTCTGTGATGCCCCTCTGCCATGCCACTCTGCCCTGGAGCCAGCCAACTATGAACCGAACCTCTACAAACTGTGAGCTAAATAAAACTTTGTCCCTTTAACTTTGGATGTCGAGTATTTCATCTCAGCCATGAGAAAAGTAACTAAGATATTGTCCTGCCTCAGCCTCCCAAGTGCTGGAATTACAGGTATATGCCATCACACCTGACTTTGAGTTCATGTTTACATAGGTGTTTACCTCTCATCCAAGGGCAGCTGCTTAGGTATCGACAAATACTTAATTATAACTTACTTTAAGAATTAATGTCAATATTATTTATGTATCTTTAATTGTACATTATTTTATAATTCAGTATGTCTATCATGTGTTGCAACAGACCTACTAAATGTATCCATCAGGCTGACAATCTTAACTGGGGCTTATTTTTAAGTAGGACTTATATTATGAGCATCCTGAAAAATCATGCTAGGGTTTATTTTCCAATCAGGTCTTATTTTCAGAGGACCAAGGCGAAGATGACCCGGTCCTGGCTTCAGAGCACCCCAGGAGTTTTATAAATACACACCTGTAACCCCTTCTCCATCCCCTGTGAGCCCCACTCTTAGAGATGAGGAAAAGGAGTTCCAGAGACCTTTGAGACTCTTATCCCTAGTGGGTTTCCTAGGCACTTTGCCTCATACTCCCTTGGACATGAGGAACTCTGAGGGCTCCAGACTTTAATGGGTACTGTCAGGGAGAACGTTGGGCAGGAGAGGGGAAATCTAGGAGGTCTCCCACTCAAGAAAGGGCTCGCCACATCTAGGGCACCACCCTGCATGGCCTGCCCTGACCTCTGGCACCATCTCCAAAAGCTCATGCTAGGGGAGGGGTGACAGCCAGGCTTTGGGGACCCCCGGGAATGTGACTCTGGGATCCTCTTCTTCATAGAGGATGGCACTGAGCTCTTGGGCTGTGTGCCACAGGTCACACACAGCTCAAGGGTGCAGCACCTGTTGAAGTCTAGGTGCCAAGCGCCCCATGCCATGAGCTCCCTAAGCCACCTGCACTGGTCCCACTCAGACCTCCCAGCCTGATGGAACTTCTGCTCCAGTACTACTGTGCTATGTGACAATGAGGCCCCCAGTGCACACTAAAATCACCCAGAAGCTTCCCCAGACTGCCCACACCATTCACTCCTCCAGATGCCGACTAGTGGGTCCAGGATGGCACACAGGACAGTGATTGTGAGATGCCTTTAGCCTCTTTTCATCCCACAAAGCAACACTGCAGTATTTGTTAATATTTCCACTACACTTCAGTTCTAAAGGAAGGGTTTTCACCAGCCTTGGTAGAACAGGCCTGAAATCTCAGTTGCGTGATGATTGCCCCTCTGTCTAACCTAAACCTACTCAGCCTCAGATCACTCAAGCTCCGCTGGATCTGCCCTCAGTGGAGAAGGAAGCAGACATTTACACCAGGTATAAAGACATCTCCACAACCATGAATGCAAGAAGGGAGGGAGTCAGGCACTCAGCAGCTTCGGTTCTCATTCTTACTGAGCCACATGGTCAGTGTGGCACGTGACCCATGGCCAGAAAGCCAGAGTCAGGACCTAGAGCTGGTCAGATGGAGGCCTCCTCCCACAGGGGGAAGATATCAGCAGTTTGATGAGGGACATCCACAAATGAGACCAGATTCAGGATCAGGTGACCAGACAGGTAAGGAACCATCCCATCCAACAGGCTGGGAGAGGAATTCAGGCAGATGCAGCACCCCACCCCAGGCAGCCTGGACACAGGGCACAGGTTACTAGGGACGGGGCTCAGCGGACAGCAAGCACCAATGAGAAAAGTGACTGGGACAAAGAGTTCTCCAAAGATCCCCGGTCAGGAAGCACAGGAGGAGCTCAGCATCCCTCATCACTGGGGAACGGCAAACCAAGACACAGTGAGATAACACATCAGACCAGAAGACAGCCACGGACTGCTCAGACTGAGTGGGGAGGAGCGAAAGAATCACTGTATATCTTCTTTGGAAAGACAAATGTTCTCAGACACAAATGTCATCAAAAATAACATGAGCTGAGTGTAGAGGCTTGTGTGGGAGCCCATGCTGGGCAACTTGGAGACACCCGGTCTCAAAATAAAAAAATGAAAAGAATGGGGATGCAGTTTAGCATTCATGGTATTCAACCCCCAGTGCTATGCACACACACAAGCACACACACACACACACACACACACACACACACAGAAAAGCCCCCAGCAGTGGTGGTATAGGCCTGGAGTCCTAGCTACTCAGGACACAGGAGGGTCACCCAGTCCAGGACTCAGTTGCCAGTGTAGGTAAGGGTGAGATGCTATGTAAAGTCAAGAGCGAGGGGCACGAAGGGAAAATGAGAAAAAGGGAAAATAGCTGGCGTTGGTGAGGTTATGGAGAACTTAGAAACTTTATGAACTCTGCAAAATGGTGTTGCCAGCAAAGCATGGAGGCGTGTGCCCATAATCCAAGCATTCAGGTGCAGGAGGATCACCAGGTTCCAGCCCAGCTTGGGCAGTTGATCAACTTAGTAAGACCCTGTTTCAAAATAAAAAGCAACAATAGCTGGGGTTGTAGCTCAGTGTGAAGATCCTGGGTTGAATCCCCAGTAATGCAAAAAAAAAAAAGACACTGTGAAAAACAGAACAGTAGTTCCTCAAAAACCTAAAAATAGATAGCATTGCCATATGATGGAGCAATTCCTCTTTTGGGCATATAAACAAAAGAACTGAAAGCAAGGACTCAGATACATATTTGGACATCCAAGGCCATAGCTGCATTTTTCATAACACCCAAAGGCAGAAGCGACCCAGGTGTCCACTGACAGAAACAGATAAATGAAACATGCTATTTTTATACAATAGAATATTCACCAACCTTTAAAAGGGAGGAAATTCTGACACACACTACGACATGAATGAACCTTGAAGACTCATGCTAAATGAAATAAGCCAGGCACAAAAGCATAAATCTCGTATGACCCCACTTTTCTAAAGTACCCTAGAGTAGTGGCAGCACAGAGGCAAAGTGTAAAATGGGAGTGGGGGGAGGGGCAGGGCGGGGTGAACAGGAACTGCTATTCAAAGAACAGTTTCAGCTCCATAAGAGGTAAAATCTTGCCAGGCATAGTGGCACACACCTGTAATCCTAGCACTAGGTAGGCTGAGGCAGGAGGATCGCTGTAAATTTGAGTCCAGCCTGGACTACAAAGTGAGTTTAAGGCCAGCATAGTGAAATCCTGACTCAAAAAGACAAAAAAAAAAAAAAAAAAAAAGAGGCAAAGTCCTGCAGGTGGATGGGGGTGGTGGCCAAAGAGCAATGTGAATATACAGTACTTAATGACACAGAACTGTATGCCCCAAAATGGTGAAAATACTAAATTTTATGTTATATACATTTTAGCACTATTTTTCTTAACTGGGCTGGGATTCCTTAAAGTGGCTAGTGACTGGCTAAACTAAGTGATCAGGATAGAAGGGAAAGCAGGTGTTGGGAACATTTCCTCAGCAAAATGTTATGACTGACTTTCTTCCCTTGCAAAGCCACCAAGGGCATGCTCGTGTCTGACATTTGCATAACCAGTGTGTCTTGGCTCAGGTGTATGCAAATCAAAGAAAACCACAGGTAGCTTAACACAATTCAGCTTGAAGGATGTTCTGGGTGGTTTAAATGCCCTTCCTACAGTGCCACACAGGAGGAGGCCCTCCTTAGCCAGGTGATAGCAGAAAGTAAGCTTCTGAGAAGGGGACAACCAGAAAGCCACCCCTACTCCTGGTGTACAGCAGAGACCCAAGCCCGCCTCCACGCTCTGGCCCTGGGTCTGCCCACAGCAGAAAAGACAAGGACCCTACACTGCAGAACCCAGAGGCTGAAGCCCATCACATCCAACATGAGGGCCCTGCGGCCTTTACAAAGTCTTTGTTCTCCCTGGGGCCAGGACCAGGAGAAAGTGACAAGGATGAGAATGAGACCAAGCATTCTCTTTTCCTTTGTTACAGACATGCATGCAGCAAGGGCATGGTGTTTTATTCTTTTTAACTGCCAAGTATTAAAGGATAATTGATTTGGTTCAACCCTGCTATAGGGCTAGCAAGATTTGAATACAAAGTAAGGCTGGAAGCCACCAGAATGCCAAGAATGCTGCAATAAACTGCTCAGGGAGAGGTGAGATTTGCATCTTCAGAGGCATGCAAGGAGAAGCTGGGGAAGCTGCCTCTGGTGGTAGTCAGGGAGGTTCCTGAATTCTAGGTCTGCTAAACCCTAATCTTTCATGGTAGTGTCAGGAGACAATGTCTCGCTGGTTTTATCAGAAAAAAATAAAAGGCAAGCAGGTAGGTTTGTCATTTAGAGTTAAGGAGGGCACCAGCAGAAGAACAGAATGAGTCAAGCAGCTTCCTCCAGGAAGCAGGGTGAGAAACGGGAAGGCAGAGGCCCAGGCCACTGCTCAGGACCTTGAGTCCTCCTGTACCTCTTGGCTATGGGCATGCGTTGATTGGTAAACATTTTTTTTAAGCTTAGCTCGGTGTAGTGGGCACACAGCTATAATCTCAACACTGCAGGAGGTTTGAAAATTCAAACCCAGCCTGGGCAATTTAGCAATTTATAGAGGCCTTATCTCAAAATGGACTGGGGAGGTAGCTGAGTGCAAAGGCCCTGGGTTCAATTTCCAGTTATACACATTCACATCAGGTATTTAAAAAATAAAATTTAAATTTAAAAAACCCCTCTTGGCCGGGCCTGGTAATACACTCATGTGATCCCAGCACTTGGGAGGCTGAGGCAGGATTGCTGGGAATTCGAAACAAACCTGGGCTACATAGGGGGTTCAAGGCCAGTCTGAAATACACAGCAAGACTGTGTCTCAAAAACAAAACACAACAAAACAACTCCTATGGGTTAAAAAAATTTTACCCATGTACTTGTTAAATAACACATTTCCAAAACATTTGATAACATGGAGAATTTTACAATATAATACACACACACAAAAGTAAAAAAAAAAAAGAAGTATATTAAAATGTTCCTATTGGTTTTCCCTAGGGAGTAAAAATACTGGTGATACTTATTACCTTCTTCATATTTTTCTGGAATTTGTTGTTTTATCACAAACATACTAATTTTATTTATTCCCCAATCAATGGTTATCTTCATTATCTCATTAAAAATGAAATGCATCAGTGCCTGCGGTGGATTAAATCCGCAGCGCCTCCCTTCCTGGTGCTGCTGGGTTTCCAGCCCGGCCCTGCGGCCCCCCAGCCTGTCAAAAAGGAGAACCAGGCCCACCAGCCACTCTGCCATCAGCCCTTATGTGAGGCCACCCTGGCCCCTCCACTGCGGTGGCAGCAGCTGCCTGGACCCACAGACAAGCTGCTCTGTGACTTACTTTTAGAAGCTCCAGCAGGTAAGTGGCTGCTGTTTTAGGACTGGTTTGGGGTGACTTGTCCTATAATCCTAGGCACTGACACAGCCAAGACACCCCATCCCCATCAGCACCCACTGAAGTACCTGACCAGGGGGTTCCTCTGGCCTCAGAGCTCCACTCACTCCAGGAGCCGATCCCGAACTCCTCCTGGGCCCGGAGCTGCACCACATGCCTGTGGCCACGCCAGGCGTCCGAGATGATGCATTGGTGCTGCGGGTGCTGCATCTGAGGATGGAAGTACAGGACTCTGGTAGGTGGGGAGAAGCACTGCAGCCCCCCAACCCTGCCAGCTGGCTCCACTCAGCAGGCTCTGGAGTGGGGGTCACTCTGAGGGCCACGCAGGCTGACACCCAGTGGTGGGTAAATCCCCACCGCTGCCCAAGACTTAGAGCCACAACTTTATCTACTAAATCCTTGTCACACTCAGAGCCCTCGAAGAGGAGACTAGCTTGGGACGGTGACTCTCAGACAAGATGACCAAAGCCATATAGTAAGACGACTCATCCAGACCAGAAGGGCACACAGTACTAAGCAGGGTGAAAACCTGACCCTTCCCTTCCACCACACCCAGGTGCAGAGGGTGCTCATCTGTTCAGGAGAGACGAACTTACAGTCCAGGTCGTGAATGTCTCTGACCGTTCAGCCCGGTATCGGAGTTCAAAGCGGAGCCTGTAGAAGTCTGAGTTCCAGGAGTGGGGGTCCTTCCAGGTGACATTGAGCCATTGGGCGTTTCCCACCACAGCAGTGACAATGATGTTGGCAGGTGGGTCGGGCTTCACTGTGGGAGAGGCAGCATGGCTCTTCACGGCAAGCAGGAGAAGCCGGCAAGGCTCTGCAGGCCCCATCCAGGCAGCCCCTTCCCAGCCCTCCCTCCACACAGGTCTGGACAGACTCTCATCTGTAACCCTCAGACCTCCTGGTAGGCAGCGCCCCACAGGCTCCAGCCTGCCACACACCTCCACCACCCTTCCCTGCCCCTCCAAGGAATATCAAGTAAAAGCTGGGGAAGCAGCTACAGCATGGGAAGAGCCCACTTACAGATGTTATTGATCTGCAGCATCTCCCTGCTACTGATCCTGCTTCCAGCACTGTTGACCACACACAGAAACACTATATGGATAGATGTGTCTCCCTCGGGGACCGGCAACTGGCAGGAGAACTTCTGGGACTTCCCAGAATACAGGCACCGTTCCTGGAATTCTTCCGTAGGGTCTGTCTGGCTGTGGACACAAACCAAGGCACACTGCCTCACAGTTCCTGCACTGCTCCACAGGACAGAGGGGTGGTCAGAGCAGCAACAGGAGCTCAGCTCGGAAGTCTGATCTCAGGGCTCACATTCCAGCTCTACGCTACCAGCTTTTAGCAGCTTTCATGACTTTGAGTAAATTATCCAACTTCTTGGTCTCTGTGTTCTCATTTGAAAATACAATATCAGGCTGGGGATTTAGCTCAGTGGCATAAGCACCTGCCTGGCAAGCATGAGGTCATGAGTTCGATCCCTGGTACAAAAAATAAAAAAATATCATAGCACTCTGGGGAGGCTGAGGCAAGAGGATCACAAATTCAAGTCCAGCATAAGCAACTTAGTAATTTAATGAGACCCTGTCTCAAAATAAAAAAATAAAAACGGGGCTAGGGATGTAGCTCACTGAGAATGTCCAGGATTCAAGCCCCAGTACCAAAAAAGCCAAAAAAACAAAAAAAAACAAAAAAAACAAAACAAAACAAATCACAACAAAAATCAGAGGTGAGTTTGTTCTCAGCACTGTCGACCCTCTCTGTCTATGGCTGATACCATCTCAGGTCCCTCACTTTATATCACCTTCTATTGGCAGGACAGGGACCTCGGACAGTCAAGACTGTAGCCCCATGCTCTCCAATGCAATTCTCCACCACTTTACTACTTTTCTGTCTTTTTTATTGGTTTTTTTTTTTTTTTTTTGAGAAAGGGTTTCACTATGTAGGCTTCAACTCACAGCAATCCTCCTGTCTCAGCCTCCTGAGTCCTGGGATTACAGGTGTGCTCTTACCTCTTTCTGTCACCTATGTAATGGAAAGCAAACAGGTTCCCAGGGTCAAGGCACTGACAATGGCTTCCCACTCCCAGGGCCATTAGCAATTCCTTGAGGCAACAGTCAAACCTTTAGGCTTGACAGAGAATTGGATTCCCAGCAGAGCCACTTACTAGCTAGATGACCTTAAACAAATTAATTCATTTTCGGAACCTGTTTGTGCACCTGTTTATCTACCCAGTGAGAAAAGCAGTCTCCCCTAGCTGCTGTGATAAGCACGGGTGAGTGGAGCCCTCTCATTCCCTCCTACTTGCCCCAGAGGAAGAGATACTCCTGAGTAAACATCAGGATTCCTGGTCCTCTGGGAACCCCGCCACAGCACGCACAGACCGGGGAGCTCAATGCGTACAGAGATGGAAACACACACCCTGCCCACTACTCACAGCTTCCTCACACACAGCACCACCTTGGTCGTCAGGGATGGGGCACTCCGAGGGCTCCACTCACAGGTAACACTGCTCAGGAGGCTCTTCCGCCAACAGGAGAGCTTTGGCTCCTCCGGAGGAGCTGCAAGCACAGCACAGCAGGCTGAGGACCCACAGGCCTCCCAGAGCAGGAAACTCGCCCTACAGTCCTGCCCAGTCTGCCTGCAGACAAACTCAGCCACACACAGAGCTCCTGAGCCGAAAGGAAGGGGCAGTATGCTGGGGTCAGGCTGGGAATATGTGGGGGGTGGGAGGGGATGGAGGAGGGCAATACCTTCAGACCTTCTGTCTACAGAAAATAAAACCTTGGAGCCACACAGACCAAGCTGCAGATCTGGGCAGGTCCCAGACTCCCTTTAGCTTCCTTACAAAATGCTGATAATATAATAATAATAATAATAATATCCAGCAGGGTGTGGTGGTGCACACCGATAATCCCAGCACTATAGAAGGTTGACAGAGGAGAATTACAAATTCAAACTCAGCCTGGGCAACTTAGTGAGACCCTGCCTCAAAATAAAAACTAAAACAGGGCTAGGGGTGTGGTTTAGTGCAAAAGCCCTGGGTACAGTCCCCGGTATCTCTCTCTCTCTCACACACACACACACACAAACACACACACACACACACACACACACACACACAACTTTGCAACACTCCAAAGCAAAGTGAGAAAATCAACTTTATTTTGCTGGAGGAATCTGAGGGACAGAGAATTTTAGCAAAGGTGAGGAAGCAGGATTCCAACCTAGGCCACCCGGCCCCAGGTCCCACACTACTGACCAGCACCGCCCAAGGCCAGCCGCACAATACTCCCCACTCAGCAGAAAGCCCCTCCAGATCTCACTGGTGCCATCAGAAACCTCTCCCTGAGATTTTTGGGCCAAGGACAGAAGGGGAGTAAATCGTTCTGGGAGTTTGGGGACCATGTCTCTTCCAGGCAGGGGCCACCACTCACCTTCCACCAGCAGACGCACGGTCCCGGCCTGGTGCCCGTTCACGTAGCATGAGTAGTTGCCAGAATCGCTGAACTGCACTGACCTCAGCAGCAACCTCGGTCCCACACCGGCCCATCTTTGGTGTGTGTTGGTGACCATCCAATGGACAGTGGCATTGTCTCTGAGGTCTTTCGCAGGGCAGGACAGGGAGACACTGGCCCCCGGCAGGCTGGTCAGCACGTCTCGTGGCAGGTCTGAGGGAGAAAGGCAGCACTCAGAAAGCCACAGCACCCTGCAAGGGTGTGGTTTCTGACTCAAGAAAACCAGAGTCCTCAATTCTAAACACCTCTGCAGGCCACCAGGGTCCAGGACATGTCCTCCGCTGCCCGGATCAGGACAGTGACCTCCTTCAGGAACCTCCTTGTCAGGTCACTATGTAGCCGCTCATTCCCTTGACTAGAAAATCCTTTAGGATTTCTGACTGCTACAGGATGGAGTTCAAGCCATGTGCATGGCCCTGTGGGGGGCATGTGCACCTCCCCTGTCCACTCTGAGGCCTGGCCTGCCACCACTCAGCCCCCCAGAAGGCCCAGCCCCTGCCCACGTCTGCTCCTCCCCTACTGCTCCCCATGATAATGTCGCCTCTTTTAGGTCTTAGCCTAACACCCTCTCCCCAGAGCCCTTCCTTGTGCCCCCACTCAGTGCCACCTTCCCCATCATGCTGCCCATACAACTACTAATTCCAAGTCTGTCTTCCTCTCAAGACTCCAAGCATCATAGGAACTGGCACACCATTAGTTTCCAGTGTTACCTGATGCATGGCAGGGGCTCCCTGAGCACCTGATGAATGCAGAGTGAATGAACAAACCTAGGAATGAATGCCAGGGCCCAAGAAGGATTTCCAGCATTTACAAGCACTTAGGAAGTCTCAGAACACAGGATCTTTATGAACCCATTTTACAGAGAGTTAACAGAGGCACAGAAGAGTCAGGAGATTTGTCCAAGGTCACCAATAGGACAGCCATACAACTATGAAGTAAATCAGGCTGTTTAACTCTGTTTCAGGATTCCTACAGGACCCTGCACCTAGTTGTTAAATATTCAGGACAATGCTGTTTTTACTCTAGAGACCAACTTGGAGTAAAAATGAAAAATGAAACAAACAAAAACACAATCTTATGCCCCTGAAAAAAAATTGTATACACTCAAGAAAGGGCAAAAAGGAGATTAAAGATTAAAAGAACAAATACATGTTTTAGTACAGGTTTAAATACAAGTTATAGATTCACAGAATCTAAGACAAAAATTAGCCCAACTATCTTGGACTAATTTATTAACTCATCAATTAAGTTAATCCTACCAGCTGAGGGAGCAGAGATAGGGTTTCATCTAAACTCACTGGGTCCTCCAAACCTAATGCGTCATGTAAACCTGGCAGATTTCAGAACAGCCAGCTGCTGTCTGAGGGCTTGGCCCTGCCTCCCTGTTTTGAGTCTGAGGACAGCATGCATGATGTCTCTGACCTACAGGATTTCCTCGCTTGGGAAGACCACATCGTATGCTTGGCAGCCTGTCCTCCCTCAAATCCCATCCAAATCAGCACTCACAGCGGGAAGCAAAGCCCAGCAGCTCCACTGGCCATGGCGCTGGGACAGGCCATTGCATCAAAGGGCAGAAGCGGTGTCTGCCTGGCATAGGCCCTGCCTGACCACATGAGTGCCCCTCAAGCTTCTTCCTCACTTTATCCTTGGAGCCTGAGTTCTCCACCCCGGCACGATCTGCTCCTAGACTCACAGGAAAAGGTCAGACACAGGTCCAGGCGGTAGCCTGGAGGCCTGCACTCCTCCCCAACAGAGCCTTGGATGTGACTGTCACCACAGAGCCAGGCAAGGCCAAGCAGGCTGGTTAGGCCCCTCTGGCTCACTGTCCCCTCCTCTGTCTCACATTCAGTTAGCATTTGGCAGCTGGCAATGGTGAAAACAGGACATGGCACTGGGGAGCCCCTACCCAAGGAGAATCTAAGGCCATCCACTGCTGCAAAGGTGGTATGGTGGACAATGGAGTCCCCTCTACTTCAGCAAGCCACTTCCCAGAAGTCCATGTTCACTGAGGGCAGTGATGGGAGGACTCTTATCCCCAGACAGCTTCAAAGAATCAAAGTGCCCTCCTTACAGCACAGTATTAACATATAAACTTTGACAACACTCTTCTAGCACTCCACTGTTTCTCAAAATGTATAATATAATAAGACCCACAAATTAAAATGCCATATTCATAACCTTTATGAAGCACAAAACACTCAGGAGCTCCCACCAGCCTAAAAACCAGCACCATCATAGCCAGGAATGGTAGAAGACACCTGTAATCCCAGCTACTATGGCAGCTGAGGCGGACTGCAAATTCAAGGCTAGGCTAGGCCACCTAGTAAAACCTTGTGTCTTTTTATTTTTTTATTATTATTTTTTTAATCTTGTCTTGAGAAAAAGAAAAAATAGAAAGGGTTAAAGATACAGCCCATGATCCCTGGGTTTAATCCCCAGACTATAAAAACAGAAAAAAAAAAAGAAAAAAAAAACTGGGAACATCTCAGTGGCAGAGTGTTTGCTTAGCATACATGAGGCCCTGGGTTCCATCCCCAGTACCAAAAAAACAACAACAGGAAATAAAAGAAAAGTAAACAGACTAGCACCATCATCACCTCTGAAGGTCCCTGGGGACCCCCAACCTCTAGTCTCCCCATCTATACAATTCCTTTACAAAGTATGCTCACTAACCATGGGTCCCTGTGTTTGTCTTGACTTCACTTGATATAATGATTTGTATGTAGTCTTTTGGTGGCACGGGTTTTCATTCACATGCTTCTATGATTCATTACATGCCACTGTGGTTCACTCATTTTCACTGCTCTGCAATATTCTACTGTGTGACTCCCACAGGGGGAGCTGGGGTTGTTCCCAATGCTTTGCCACATCAAAGAGTACGGTTACCAACTTGTGGCACACTTTCCCTGGAGCTTCCTAAAGAATGACAACGCTGGTCTTAGCACATACATGTCCCTCCCTTGAGAACTGAACTCCACCCAATCTGTAAGGTCCTGTGAGTACCTGATGGAGGCAGCAGCTTGCCAGCCCAACCCCTCTCCTGCTTTCTGTCTGCAGAGGGAGGCTAAGTGTAACCCCTCAACCCTTCTAATCACTACCTCACATTTTCACTTTCCTGTTTTTCACTGGGTGAAGTGGCTATAAGGATGACCTAGAACAGACATCCAGTTTGTGCAAATTATGAATTTGTAGGAACTGGAGATACTGCCCAAGGAGCCAGGAGGGAGAAAATACATGTATAGTGCATGATATTTAATAATGATTTTTAAAAAGTGTACATGTGCTTTCGCAGTGTACTCTTATTTTTAAAAAATGTTCAGCTGTGTGTGGTGACACAGGCTACTCGGTAATCCCAGATACTCTGGAGGCTGATGCAGGAAGATCACAGGTTTAGGGTCAGCCTGGGCAGCTTAGCAGAGATCTTGTCCACTCCCCCAAACCCATGCCACGTTATACTGTCCTGAATTTCTTATCTCTCTTCATGGAATCAGGAGGCCACACCAAAGAACTGATCGTATCACCTAGGTTTGTGTAACTCTATGATAATCACATGACAAAATTGCCTAATGACACATTTTGGAATATGTCCCCACCATTGAGTGATCGATGACTGTATCCAGGGACCCACCTCAACCTTACCTATAAGACTGGAAGCCATGCACTGGACAGCTCAGTAGTGCTTTGTTTAATCAAGGGCACCTAAGAGACAGCCACAAGACCAGGATCACCCAGGAGCATTATTCCCAGGGCACACAGTGGCCCCAGGGGTGGCTCTGGTGTTCTGTGATGGACAGGCCCTGTCCTGGAGACTAAAGAAGCCAGATACAGAGGAGGCAGGGAGGAGTCTGGAGCCAAAGTAAGCTCTCTTATCCTCTCCAGACTTTGCCAGTTCCAGAGCAAAGGTGCTGTGGTCACTCCCCCACGCTAGCTGGAGGGACGCCCTTGCACGCCTGGTGACCGCTGGACAATGGCAGGGCCTGTTTATGCCAGCACTCACTGACAATGGTCAAAGTATTGGAGCAGCTCAGAGAAACAAATGAAAAGACATTTTTTCCTCTTCCACAAAAGCAGAGCTGCAGGGAGCAACATAATGGCCACTTCCTCTGCCAAGGACCTTGAGTAATGGTTTAGTCACTTATTTTTTTTTTTTTTCTAATAGGGAATGATTAATTGTCAACCACCCGTTGGCAAGTATTGATGGTCACAGCCCTACTTTAAAACATTTCTTCTGGAATCTATAAGCAAGCCCGTGTTAACTTCAAACGCATGGAAGTGGAATGATCACAAAAATGCTCAGAGAGGGGCAATCTCCAGGCGTCAGCTCAAGTTAGAGGAGACAGCACCTGCCACGCCCCACCCACACATCCCTCTGCCTCCTGACCCGATTCAGAGCCACAGCGCTGCAGAGGAGGAGCAGTGGACACAGAACTGCTCTCCCAAGGCCCTGGGCTCCTCTCCCAATGAGGGGACTACAGGGGATTTACCTTCTTTTACCTTATTGTAATTTTTACATCTTTCCATGACACCAGCTTCCTTATGTTGCCCAGGCTGGTCCTGAACTCCTGGCCCTCTTGACTCAGTTTCCCAAGTAGCCAGGACCAGATACAAGCCCACTGCTTCCAGCTTTTTTTGTAATTATTAGGTTTTCTGCAGGTCATTTGCATTACGCTTATGATGGAAATGGAAAAAATAAATGTATATATAAGTCTGTGTTTCAAGTAGTGGCACACACATGTAACCCCAGCACTGGGGAGGCTGAGGCAGGTTTACAGAGAATTTGAGGTCAGCCTGGACTACACAGTGAATCCTGTCTCAAAACAAGATATGTATCCCAAATCTGAAGTAAGCTGTCATGCTTTCTGCCCCCGAGAGCCAATGATTTGGGGTAACGGGGTACTAGAGGGCAGGAGTGGGCTTCAGGGCTCTGCAGTCAGCCTGTGCCCTTTATCCCTAGAGGGCAAGCAGCTCTGGCAGCACTGGTGACATGCCCATAGGCGCCTGTGCATGCCAGGCGGGACCAGGAATAGATCCGTGCAGCCTTGTGGTGACGCAGAGCTGCTTCCTATCTGCCAATCCGCCTCCTGCTCTGAGATGTGCTCTGATTAATAAACAAAGCGAGGCAAGACATTCCGGCAGCCCAGCCCCACCCGATT